TTATCTGTTGAAAAAGAAAGAATGTTTTTCAGAATTTTGACTCATTTCACTATATCGTTGAGAAGTCAAAGTATCTTAAACTCTTAAAAGCATGAAACATATGTACAATCAAGACAGATTTGGTAAGTACAAAAGAAACTTTATTAAAATCCGCAAAAACTATTTAAAATTGAAAAACAAAAATTTTTTGGGCTGATTATGAAATAGTTCCAAGTCTTATAATAAATATTTCTTCTATAAAGAATTATTTTTTAAAAAAAAAACTAGTAAACTCTTCATGTGGGATATGGGAAACTGTAGGATGTACTACATGATAAATTTGAGGCAATTTGTTTATTTCTACCTATTGTTTTAATAGTTAAATATATTTATGTTTCAGGATTCAAAATTTCACTTATTAACTCAGACTGCTTGTCTTTGCGCAAATACATGACGCGGCTGTGCACAGCTTAAATAAATAACAATTTAATGGGATTTAGATTTTTCTTGAAGATAAAAGTTATTAAAGGGTACTGAAATGAGGATGGAAAAATATAAAAATCGTTATAAAAGTCGATAAATTACGAAGCGGAGAATAAGAACTTTTAGTAAAGTTTGATTGTAAGAAATATTTTATTAAAAAAACAAACGATTTTTTTTTAAAAATCAGATACCAGCAAGCGACATCGTCGTGGGTATCGATCCTGATTGGCTGTTGAAACGAGGCTTTGTTTATATTAGCAATTGGGTACTTGCACTTCAAGAAGAAGAAGATCTTAGATATCCACACATATGACCGATGACGTCAGTGGCAGCTGTTCGTTTATAAACAAAATGGCTTGTTAAAGTTGAGCTAAGTTTCTCCACATAAGTTTGAATGTTAATTAACTTGAAGTTAATTAAAAGCAGCGCCGTATCGCACATCGAATTAGTTGAAATATAATTCTCTCTCGTCTGCATCTTTTGCTTAACTTAGATTTATTATTTGTTTATGTATTTTATTCTAACCATGATATATTTTTACTTTGTATACCTGGCAACTTCGATGCGTAATTAGTTTGTTTATGTCCTACATGGCTTCATGTCTGTCTTTGTATTAAGTAGGAAAGATATGGTGTAAGAAGTGAAATCTTTGAGAAATAACCTTTGTGAAAAAGTATAGAATGCTTGAATGTGTCATTTAAGGAAATTGATACTTGGTGGGCTTAACTTACTCGAAATGGAATTGAAAGAACAATTGCTAACGTGAAAAAATGCCACGTTGCAACAACCAATCAGTATTGAGATACCCACGTTACGTCACTTGCAGGTATCCCATTGTTCTTTCCATTCTATTTTGAGTAAGTATTGCCTGTCATGGATATGAATTCCATATGTGATCTCTTAATAGATTTGAGATTATTTCATAATTAATAAACTCTTGCAAATTAAGGAAATATGCAATTAATACTTATCAAAACAAAGGAAATGAACTATAAATAACAAAAAGAAAACGGCGATAAAACAAGCCTAACAAATATAAAGCTAACACGTTATCTTGTTTGTCAACAAACAGTTGGCGCAGTAGTAATAGTTCAGGTGGTTGAGTATCAGCTGTCTTTTTCTTAAATTGAAAGTGTCCCATAGTCAATGTTTCTTTCATTTAAACGATAGAATACAATAAATAAAGGCAAGAAATAAATATACACAGAAGAGATAAAATGAATGATTTGCTTTTGAATCTCTAGGTTCATGTCAGTGACTGTAGAATTGAGTTTATATATTATGATACAATGAATGAAAGCAAGAAACATAAACAAACACAGAAGAGATTAAGTGAATGAGTCAATTTTGTAACTCTAGGTTAATGTCAGTGACTGCAGAATTGAGTTTATATATTATGACACAATGAATAAAAGCAAGAAACATAAACAAACACAGAAGAAATGAAGTGAATGAGTTAATTTTGTAACTCTAGGTTAATGTCTGTGAATGCAGAATTGAGTTTATATATTATGATACAGTAAATAAAAGCAAGAAACATAAACAATCACAGAAGAGGTAAAGCGAACGAGTCAGTCTTGCATATCTAGGTCCATGTCAGTGACTGCAGAATTGAGTTTATATATTATGACAAAAAAAGAAAAAAAGTACATGAAAGGAATCACAAAAAAGTTAACAAAATGCAAAGATAAAAATGTTTATATTTGTATTATATTATAATGTTTATATTTATTAAGCATTTATGTTATTATATAAATGTTTAAAAATGCAAATATATGCTTGAAAAAGAGCAAGGAGAAGTGTCTGGTTTAGAGAAAGTTAAAACTTTTAGTTTTTAAATCTAAACATTATAACAATGAAAAAATATTTACAGAAAAAATATAGAGGGTGTATGAAATAACATTGATAAAATATCTTTAACATTAAGTAGAGAGAAAGTAATTGTTTAAGCTATTTGCATCTTGAATTTCAACAGGGAGTAAATAAAAGCAATTTGGTGATAAATACTGAAAACTTTAACGAAAAATTTCATTATTAGGCTTGAATATAAAGTAAAATTTAAATTTGGTAAGGTTTACTTATAGTAGTCACGTGGATTTGTAAAAATGTTGAGTAACTGGTTGTGGTTTGGGTTGGTTCGTTCATATTATTTCTAACGAATTCAATACATTTGTCTTGAGTTTTACATTATTACTTATGTTAGTTATATAATTACCCATCTAGACTGATAAGCCATATTAGATAAGAATGTACACAAGGTTAGAAAAAATTTACTATTTACTTTAAATTTGAAATAATGGAATCTGCTCCACTAAAGTTTCTTGTTATATAATTAATATACGTTTTGCACTTTAAGTTTAAATCCATCATTACACACCAGTATTTTATAGTGGTTTGAATCTCATGTTTCTAAATTATAACAATAGCGAAGTAATAGTAAAGGTATCGTAACATCGTTTTGCATTTAAAATTTTGCTCGCTAGTTGTGACTTCTTAGGCGCCATGGTGAGCGGTAATTATAATAGATTCATAACATGGTTATCATAAATTTTTTTGATAAGAATTTTTACCAAAAAACACTTAAAGTGCAAAAATTTTGCGCTTTTCGTTTTAGAACTCAATCTTAATGGTTCGATGGGGAGACCTCTAATATGCTAATTATTTGTGTTGACAATATTTTAAGTTACGAAGTCAGGCATTTTGCCATTAAAATGTAAAATTAAGTTCCTTAAGATGATGTAAAAAACTGCCTGCCTAACAATTAAAAATATTTTTCGACTATTATAAAATAAAAACTTAAATAAAAAGTATTAGAATGAAAATTTTATACAAATTACAGTTTCTCCTCGATACAGTTTCGACCAATATTTAGTATTAGTTCTGGGTTTAAGAAAAAACATCACTTATGATCTTTATATATATTAGTTTCATTTTTAACTAAGAAGAACTACAGTTCATTAAAAGTTAACTTAAAAGTGCTTTCAACAAAGAGTATTTTGGTGTTAATTGTATTTCATGAAGCATGCTAATTATAATTCATTCATTCAATTATGATGGTTCAATTTGAGGTTGATGGATGTAAAAAAATACTTTTAAGGTAGAAATGATGTTTTACAGCAAAAATAACCTCATCAATAAACCTCAATTTTAACTTCTTTTATCACTCATAAAATTAAACTCATATATAGCTCATCAATAATTTTATTTTAAATTTATAATCATCTTTGAGCAGCTGACCCAAGTTTTGGTTTACGACTACTAGCGTTCAACTCCGTAGCCTTGTAATTTTGAACCAATCCAGAAGACAAGGAAACTCCTGGATCAGTACCTCCAGATGTATGATTTGTTATGGGAACATGGAGAACTTTGTGACTTAACATATTTAACGTGCATCAGTCACCATTTACTACACAGAGAGTCTTCGGCGGGAGGGGATCGAACCCGCGACCTCTTGGACATGGACCCCAGAGCCCTACCAACCAGGCTATCCGAGTGAAATTATTCAAACTTCAAATGTACTTATTTGCTAGAAGAGTAGAAAAAATAACCTCCTGTGCACTTCAAGTGCAGCCTCTCTAAGATAGTTACTCTAAGGTATCAAAATCAAAACAACTTCAAAAGAGAATAAAAACAACTTGGTTAGTTGATTTTTTAAAGTTGTTTTTGAAGTCAACTTGAAATAAATCTCAAATCATCCTTATCACTACAAAACATCCTCCAATAAATCTCAAAAACACCTTGAATTTCTGTAAGGGGATTTATTCGATTAAGCCCGAATCCTTGCATAAAATATTTATTATCAAACAATTTTCCTAAAGCACGCGTGATCTTAACTAGAAACCATCTCCCACTACCGGTATAGTTAAACAGCCAGTTAACTGTTTGTTTAGAAGCAGACCTTAATGACAGTAGACGACTTTAATGACAATATTGTATTCATTTAACTATGTTCAAAAGATATTTTCATAATAATCATTTACTATATTATAAATATTTATTATATTTATTTAAAGCATTTAGAATGAAACAAGCTTTACAATGATTCATAAAATGAATCATAATAGTTTAAATTCATATGAACTAATATGTTTTGTTTTATGATTCGTTTCAAAACTTGTTTTATTAAAAAGCCGTTTAAATTTATTTAAACATTATTCTTTACCCACTCCACTTTTTACAATCTCCAAACTGTGAATTTAGCTACGGAATTAAATTGTCTCTTGTTTCTTAGATTATTAAATGCTTAAATATCATTGTTTATTTCCTTTTTTTTTATTTAAAATTACAGCAACTGCTTGCGAAGGAAATGAGTAAACCTTTTTCTAAGGTGCACTTCAATGGTAGTCATCAAAAGACTTATTTTTGTGTGCTTGATTTATGGTTTAAGCAAGTAAGATGACGTTGAAAAAAATATGTAATTATTTATGACTTCCGTATGTTTACATTTACCTACATCATAATGTACATAAATAAACCTTGAAAGTTTTTCTGGAAATTATCCATTAAATTCTTTTTATAAGCCTAAATGATATTGTAAGAGACCTTTAAATGCCGAAGACTTTATCAAAAGGTCGTTAAAGTCAACTGAATTCGCAGTAAATGTATCTAATCTGGCTTCACAATCATCAATTATACCAGTCTGCATAAGTTGCGGGAACGGTTAGCGTATAATAAAATACACACACTGTTACTTCTCTAAAACGCATGAAGTTTGACAGTATCGAGCCAGTTGCTTAGTTGATTTTGTCCAACTTGGTGTGTCCAGGTTTGTGACCTTTTTGATTTTAAAGATTTAGACTATTTTGTTTTAAAAAATTACTGTTAAACTTTGGTTTGAAGACCATGGAACATTTTGAGTGTTTCATAACATGATTAATGCTAAAGTGCAACTCTGTTATGGATTCCAATTTTTGCCACTAAATAGTAGAATGTTTTGAACTCTAGGACCTATCGCTTCTTTCTCGTTTTGCCGGCCCTGAACAGGTTAAACCTCGTTTAGTCTTACACTTGGTTAATAAGTGGAAAATGTTTTGCAAAGAATATGAGTAATAAATATTTAAATGTAAACACAGTGTGTTTGTTAAGTCATAATGTATTTTTTTCCCCTGAGAACGGTCAAAATTGCACCAAGACTTTATGGACACTGTGTTTCATTTGATAATTATTATTATAATTATAGACAATAAGATAGTTTGCGTGCCTCCATTCAAATAATTATTGTTGCAATAATAAAATAATAATGATAATAACATATTAAAATCACATATTTTCTGCTAAGTACAAGAAAGGTTGAATTTTGATTATATAATAAAAATTATTTTGACAGTTAAAAACTATTATTTAAAGATATATTTATACTATGAATTTTAAAAATAGAGTAGATTTCAGTTTATAGGCACCTCTTTAATCTGAATACCTCTACTAATCGAATCGAAGTAAACATTTTTTGCACCTATACGGATAAAAAAATTCTGGTAAAATAACCGTACTGTATACTAATGTCATTTGTGGTAAAAAAAAAACAACAGCAATATAATTCTGGTTAATGAAAGTAAAATAAAAGCCTTTTAAGTGGTCTTTTCCGTTCATATGGTAACGATTTACCGGAAATGATGGTTTTAAAAAGTATAGCTCTTATTATCACAGATTTAAAAAGAAATACCAAATTGAAGGTGAATTTAACCTAAAAAATGGTTTTTATACCATACTCTAAGGTATTCTGATAAAAAAACCAAATTTTACCGCATTTACCAAATTTTATAACACATTATAAAATCATATTTTATTGATAATTTTACCAAAGTAATTATTAAAGCTTTTCGGTAAAAATTACCGAGCTATTTGGTGTTTCTATAGAGCTAGAAACACAGTAAATTTTAGTACATTACGGTAATTTGGACCATTCATTTTTTCGCAATGTATTAACTATTCGTATTAGGTTTTTTTTCTATTCTCATTTTCCGTAATTCATTCTTTACTTTATAAACGAGGACTTCTGGTTTTTAAATTACTTTTATTTTTTTAATTCAAAATATTTTCAATCGGTAACTTTCGTTGTGGAATCCATTTGTTCATTATTGCTAGTGTAGTTAAATCAACGCCTTCCACATCTGATTAAAGAAAGCGTGTTATGTAATTTGTGCAAAAACAATACAATATTGTAGTGCGAATGATTCTGAAGAAAATCTAAAAAAGCTTGAAAATTTATCTAAGTCAATGAAATTAACTTAAAAAACGAATTAAACCAACTGCAGAATTCGATTCTGTTTTGTACAAATAGTTGATTCAAAACAGGAAGGAAGAATGCCGCTCTCTGAGGCCATGTGCAAGTGAATTTTAAAATAAAATATCTTTATACCGGACAGTTAAAAAGACATTTATTAAATGGTCATATTGAAACTCACCCTGATTACTGTAACGGACAATTATAATTAAAATTCAACTTAAATAAAGAACAATTACAATTAAAATTCGACTTAAATACTATAAAAAACATTAATATTTAAATTCCATAAAAAATATTAAATTAACCTTGATTTTCATAATTTATTGAGGAAAATATACAAGTATTAAAAAACGATGTCACTCTCTTAATCAGAATATTTCGATTATCCGTAATAATACTTCAGATAATCGACGTTTGACAAAAATAAAAAATGAATGCAACACAGCTGACGAAATTAAACATCAAAAAATAATTAGAATATACAGTTCGAGATGGATAGTTTGTACTCTCGCACATACATTGTTAAAACAATTCAAATTACTTTATGCTAATAAGGAATATATTAGCATAAAATAACATAATTAGAATAAAGAATAGTTATTAATTGATTAAGTGTTTTTTATCAATTTGATTGAACAATTTTATGAGACAAGAAAATTTAAATTGTGCAGGAAGTATCGAAAGATGTTGAAAATATTTAAGTAAACACCCGAGTGCTTATTTCTAATTAACTCATTTTATTTTAAAAGATCGTATTATTTATGGAAATAAATAAAATTAATTTGAAGTTAATTATTTATGGAAATAAATAAATTAACTTGAAGTTAATTATCAATATAATTTTAAGAAAATAAAGACTGAATATTGCGAATATAGGTAGGTGATAGTTAAAAAAATGCTTGAATAAGTTACTAGTTGACTCATCGAATAGTAAAGGAAAACAAATGCATTTATTTTTATTTTTCAACATTTTTAATTATATTCACATGTTTTTAACTATATTTACAAGATTTTACAACCAAAATTCTTTGAAGCTTTCCATGTGTATGATTAAATATGTAAAACGTCTCAATTATATATTACATATATTAGTCAACACATTCACATTTTATGTTACTTTATGTCATACATAAAAGCATTGTTTAGAGTTGGATGAAACTGAACATAACAGTTCGGAATAACAGTTTCAAAAGTTATAAAAATAGCATATTATTCGCTTCGCTTAAAAGTGTTATTTAATGTGAAAAAATACCTTTCATCATAACCTTTTATGAAAATGGCACACATGTGTCTCTTTTATATATTTTTTTTCTGGTGCTCTATTTGCAAGCAAAAAGATATTTTGGTATTTTTTAATTATGGAAAATAGTATAATAGTCAGTGCCTGATTTATCATAATGCGTGAGAAGCCCAGGCTTTGGGCCCCCATAATGTTACAAGTAATTTTTAGGAATTGCTTATGAGAATTATGAGTCAACATAGATGAAATAGATCTAAGCTTATAATTACTAATATATCGTAATTAAGTTATGTTAGAAATAGTTTAAAAACATTTCCTTATAAAACAACAGGTAAATTTTATTTAAAGTAAAGACCAGGAAGCACCTGACAGGGCCTCAGCATTTCTAGATCAGGGCCCGCTAACAGTTACTAAAAACAATCTGTTAGATTATCGGAATTCTGTGTATACTAAAATATAAAATCTGTAAAAAGTAGTTTGAATTTTTTTTTATTCATATTCAAAAATGTATCTATAATTGATTTGCAAATTAAAGAAATTTTAGTGATGAACAACTGTCTTTCTTAGATCTAAATAACTGCAATTTTGGAAAATTATTCTTTATATGACTTTATTTTTGCGCAGAAAAAGACACCGGTGTTTCATGCTGAATTTCATAACAATAAATTAGATACAATAAACTAGACCGTTTATTTCAGAGTTAGAAATGACCAGAATTTATTGTCTCGAGTGCTGATAAACATCTACAGAAAAAGTGGGCTGTTACAAAATGTATGTATGCGTTTAGTTGTGTGATAAAAGTAATTTTAATTTCGCCAAGTGAATTCTGTTATGGAATTTTATAAACCACTATTTGCTGAAAAGTGCTTGTGAATTTAACAAAGAAAATTTCATCGCTGCATTGAGAACTATTGACTGTATGAAACTGAAAAATGTACGGGAGAACGAAATTTGTCATAGATTAGACTGTTCTGAGCAAAGATGATTTAATAATATGGTTGTAACATATTAAGAAATTCTTACATTAATGTTCACACATTTAATGTTTGTGACGTGTTTTTTTTATTAAATTTCATATATCTCATACTTCAATGTGTCATATTAAATTTTTGGAACCTGTTATTTATATGTAACCTACCAATCAGTGTTCCAAAGATGACGGTCAGTTTAAAAAGTTAACTAAAGAAGAACAGAGGGAAATGCATTCCTCTTGTTCCCTCGGTTTATCTCTGCTCAAGTAGCAAACTTTTATTTTCTCAAATTTTAAAAATTATTTACAAAGTTTGTCAACAGGTGGTGCTGCTTATGGACTATGTTTTCTGCTCCATGTCAGATCCTTCAAACTGGAATATTTACTATGGTATTTGCTAATTTTGTTCTCACACAACAATGTTATTGCTGCAACTGGTGATTGTTTTTAAAACAATTTTGTAGGAATTTTCTCTTTTATTAACTCTGTCTGTTTATAAACTTTAACGAATCACATTTTGGAGCTTGTGACGGAAAAACTTGGCTCCTTCAGCAGAACAAAGCAAAATGAACATTTCCATCTGTCCTTAATTGCTTTATAAAATCATCGTTACATTTTGAATAATCGGTATATTTCCCGTTGATACAAGATATTGCTTAATGATTTTTATCTTTGTTTATATACTGTTTTAATATTTTAAAATAATAGTATATATTTTAAAGGCTTCAAGGAATAAACAAAATCTTAGTTTAATACTTTTTTTGGGAAAGGCAAAAGGAATCAAAAAACTTTTTTTCTAGATGGGAAATAACTAGGTAAAATTTGCTTGTTGCCTCGGTATGTCAAAAGCAAAAAAAAAAAAAAAAAAACTTCTATTGGTAATTTTAATTATCTTAATATATATATTTTTTAGATTATTCTTAGGACTTGGCTGTAAATAACCGAGGTGTTGCTGTCAAAGATGAAAAAGCATAAATTGAGTAATACAAAAACGATTGTTTTTTTCCTCATTATGTTTTCGTTTTCATCTTCCGAGCTTATAGTGATAGACGGCACCAAAGATCACAGTTGGAATGAGTTCAAGGTAAATTTATTTATTTTTTAAAATAATTTTAAAAGTTTTCATAAGTTTGAAACTCTTTTAAGTTCCTCTTTGAAATATGAAACTCCCTCCCCTTTTCTTGGTGGTTTATAAATACAAAAATCCAAGTTTATGATCCAATTCTTCACATTAGGTAAAGTTTTAAAACTCCCATCCGCCTTCCCACTAAAAAAAATGGTCTTAAAAATCAAATTAATTTTCACTAAGCTAAATGTGTGTGAATGTTTTTTTATAAATCAATTTCAACCTCAAAAATATTTTAACATAACATTACTAGAAAAAAATGGCCCGATAAGGAGTTAACTAATCTATAAAAAAGTTTTTAAATATTTAAATTATAATTATCAATCTTTTAAATTTAAATACAAAATTTATGTGACATTTAATTTCTTTTTTAAATTTCAATTAAATTTTTATTTTTATTATAAATTGTTACTTTGGAGAATGCTGAAAAATTATAAAATTATATGCTAAACAATTACCTTAAAAAACATAAACATAGTAAGTTTATAAAGTTAAAACAATGAGCTTATAAGGTTTTAGTCTTAAATAGTACTAATAAAAATACATTTTGAATGTAATTTTTAAAAATTTTCGAAATTGAGATGAATTTATAAATTTTTGCTTGTTTGAATTTTACTAATAAAATAAATTTAATGATATCTCTTTATTTTTTTAATTTCTTGGTAAGTGAATTGAAATAACGAATTTGTAAAATTTTTGTTTCTAAGCTCAAATAAAACCAACTTAACCACTTTGTTAAAATGTCCGATATGATGCTTGAAATCGAAACTAAAAATAATTCCATAAGATATTTGCTTTATAAATCATTTTTATATTCTTATTTAAAATTAAATTTTTAAACAATTCTAGAAATTTGATTGAAGTAATTTTTTTAAGTTTTTCAAGATGAACTGAAATAAAGGTATCGCAAAAATAAATAAATCACTGACATAAGAAAGCTAACTTGACCTTTAATACACCTACGCTGTTTCATTTTTATATGCAATTTTATTAATGCATCATCATAAAATATTATAACTAATACAAATTGCATAAAATTATATTACTTCACATTTTATTGTTTCCTATAGTAAACCAATGCATTGTATAAAAGTTGTATAAATATTTGTGGAAATAAAATTTGGTTAATCTGAGCTTAACATTAAAATATTCATAAAAATAAGATGCAAATTTAGATCCGAGACAATAAAACTTATTAGAATTTGTCATAACAGTTTATTCTGTACAATTTAAGAATTATCCTGATCATGAAATTCCATGAGTCAATAAATGTCAAACCGATTTTTAGCAGACGTAAAATAAATCGCTTTTGTTAATATAAATATTCATGGCTAATTTTAAATAGTTCTTTTACTGTAGATGGGATAAGTACCGTCTGCTATTTAGAAAAAAATATCAAGCACTACAAAAGTCATATTTTTAAAAATGATTGTTTTACAAGTAATAGAATAAGAAAAATCCTTCAAAAGATCTTTTCTTTAACTTTTTAGTAAGAACTGAGTATTACATTGTTCTCGATTGTACGATATTGATTATTTTTTTTATTTTTTATTTCCANTATAAATCATTTTTATATTCTTATTTAAAATTAAATTTTTAAGCAGTTCGAGAAATTTGAAGTAATTTTTTTAATTTTTTCAAGATGAACTGAAATAAAGGTAATGCCTGCAAAAGTATCTGGGAAATAAATAAATAAATCATTGACATAAGAAAGCCAACTTGACCTTTAATACACTTACACTGTTTCATTTTTATATGAAATTTTATTAATGCATCATCATAAAATATTATAACTAACACAAATTGCATAAAATTATATTACTTCACATTTTATTGTTTCCTATAGTAAACCAATGCATCGTACAAAAGTTGTACAAATATTTGCGGAAATAAAATTTGGTTAATCTAAGCTTAACATCAAAATATTCATAAAAATAAGATGCAAATTTAGATCCGAGTCAATAAAACTTATTTGAATTTGTCATAACCGTTTATTCTGTACAATTTAAGAATTCCTTATCATGATTTATTCCCTTATCATGATAAGATTCCTTACCCGATTTTTAGAAGACGTAAAATAAATCGCTTTTATTAACATAAATATTCATGGCTAATTTTAAATAGTTCTTTTACCGCAGATAGGATGAGTACCGTCTGCTATTTAGAAAAAAATATCAAACACCAAAAAAGTCATATTTTTAAAAAAAGATTGTTTTACAAGTAATAGAATAAGAAAATCCTTTATTTAACTCTTTAGTAAGAACTGAGTATTACATTGTTTTCGATTGTACGATATTGATTATTCTATCAGAGAGTTTTCATCCATATCATAGCACAATACATTAAAAAAATTGGTTCAAAGTTGAACCATAATAAGGATTGAATCATAAGAGGTGGAACTTTGCTGCCACCTTAACAAGGAATTAGTTTGAACTGCACTGTAAAAAATTTCTCGGGAAAAAATGATTAAATAACAATTTACTTAATTGTTATTTTAAAATATTCAAGCATAACAGTTAAATAACCTTACATAAGATAGTATTCAAACTGTTAACTGTGAGAAAAACCGTTTATTAACTGTTTTCCCCTAATACAGTTAAACAACCAGAATTTTTTCGCACCAACTCGATCCACCTAATGAAGCCATTTAGTATCTTACAGATGGGCACATATTATAGCCTAGAGGGCTAATGGCTCAATTTCACAACCAACAGAACAGGTTTCGAGTCCTGGTGACGCTGGATTCCAGCGCTGACACCACAATATTATCTCCATTCCCTTCAAAACATGAAGAGTTTCTCCCTTCAAATACATGAAGAATTTTCAGTGATCTTCACTCCCCTATTTGTGACCCCGGACTGTTAGAATATGATACTCTCATTCAGGCATAGATGGCAGCACCATAAAGCTACTAAACTATCTCTAACGTTCAGTTAAATTTCCTTTTTATGGTTTTGAAACTATGCTAGTAGTAAATGGTTTAAAAACCATATAGTTTTGTATTCATGGTTTCTTACCCATACTAGTCGTGAACGGTTTTAAAACCGTTAAAGTAAAGAAATGCTCTTTACCGTAAACTTTACAATTATTTAGATGAACAGTCTGCTGCCGTTCATTTTACCGTAATTTTTGAGAATGAAAGTTTTAACAGTGTATGTTGATCCGTGGTATTCTGCAATCAAGTTTAAGAAGCATAATGAAATAATATTAGCTCAAACTAATTAGCACCATGCTATGGTTGCAGAAAATCTAAACAATATAACGGCGTAATCCACTCCAAAATTATCCGCTTGTAAAAATTGATTCACTACTTAAATTAGTCTGAATGCGCATTTTTTTCTAATTTTTTTCTTCTTTTTGGGCTGGAAAAAAAACCTTTTTGATCATCGGTTGTGATTTTCTTTCTTTCTTTGTTTTTTTTTTGGGGGGGGGGCTTTAGAGCCTTTAATGATCGAACATCTTTTAGTGAAATCCCAAGTTAATAAAAAAAAAAATTGTTAATATCTACGAATATGCTAACCAAAAGAAGACTACTAATTACCTTTATGATATTTAGTACAAAGAATGAACTTTTCTCAATCATCACTTTATCAATTATAGTCTTAAAATTATAGGTTCTCTGGTAAACAATTGAATTCGCAGATTGAAAATCTGATCTTGTCTGTATCGGAATTTGTTTTTGGTGCATCCTTAAGCTGAAAATGAATTAAGTGCGCTGAATTACAGTTTTCGAAAAATAATTGTTTATCAGAGAAATATAATTCTTAAGTCTTGAATTTGGTTACTTCAATTTTTGGTTATTTAATTGAAAAGATCGATGAGAAATACTGATGCTATTTTTATAATGCTGTTTTTTTCATAATTTATTCTTTTTATTGCTATTGAAAATAATACTTTTTAAAAATAATTTTGCAATTTTCTTTGTCATTGTCATTTTTACTTAAATAATTTCGTAAAAATACTCAAAATATTAAATAAATTATGAATTATTTTTTAGATGTAAATATAATGACAGGTTTCCAAAATCGTTAGTGCTGAACAGCTTTAGAGACTTTAAACTAATCGAAATTATTTCTTTTTCCTGGAAATAGTATGGAAAAAACTCTGTAATTATATGGTTTGTCATCATTGCTTAAAACTGACTAATTCATAAATCGTTTTTATTATGAATAAGTCAGTCCTAAGCAAATATATGTCTTATTACGATATGTATATGTTTTATGAATTATTTTTTAGATGTAAATATAATTACAGGTTCCCAAAATCGTTAGTGTTGAACAGCTTTGGAGACTTTAAATTAATCGAAATTATTTCTTTTTCCTGGAAATAGAATGGAAAAAACACTGTAATTATATGGTTTGTCATCATTGCTTAAAACTGACTAATTCATAAATCAAATTTATTATGAATAAGTCAGTCCTAAGCAAATATATGTTTTATTATGATATGTATATGTTTTATTATGATGCAAACATAAAGTTTTCTTGTTAATCATAATGAGAATTTCCAGAGAGCTTACAAGAAGAACTACACACGTGAAGATGAGAGAGTACGGAAACCCATTTGGGAGAAAGCTCTGGCAGCCATCATGAAACACAATGAAGATCACGCCAGTGGTGTTCATTCCTTCAATCTGGGATTAAATGATTTTAGTGATATGGTAAGTAAACCAGACTTAAAAACAATATACTCTAAATTGTATGCCAGAATGACTAAGAAGAAGATAGAAATATTTGCATTTTTCCGAGGAAACGTGATGAATTATTCTTTCCAAGTCTTAGCATTAGTAATGAAGATGGTTGACAGATGGCGCTGCTATAAAGTAATGGATCTATAAAACAAAGTTTTCAAAATAACCAGCTACAACATGGTGCAGTCTGAGAATAAAATAAAGAGATGCCCGCTCTAATATTTCAGTCGACATGGTTTTAGCATATAACAGAAAACATTATTTTTATGGTTTTTCTTCGTTAACAGAAACTATGCAATTAAAATAATGAATACGAAATTATGAAACATGATTAGAAACTAACTTTTTGCACTATTTTTTTAAATAATTCCTTTGACGAAAAATATTTAACGAGATATTATTGTAACCAAAAATTAAAAGGCATTTTAAACAGCAAAATTGTAGATTAAATTTCAATGGTTAACGGGTCATAATGATTATATTCAAACTTTATCCCAATTAAGTACAGAACTAAATATATGATATTTAATTTATGCTAATACAATAGGACATTTTGGGAGTTAAAAATTAAAAACTTTTTTTTAATTTTGATGTTTAAATAAGTAAAATAAAAACTTTAATTTGGAAAAAATGATTGCGCAGCAATAATGGAGTTTGGAGAATAAAGCGTTCAGTTTTACTCATTTACTAAGTAGTTGAAAGAGGCAGTTCCTCCCCCTTTTTTTAGGTGACTTAATTACTGTATTGTTAATATGTTTTAAGATTTGTATTTATTTTTCAGAAATTTCAGCTTAGAAAAAAAAAACATTTCTCTTAAATCCAAAAAATAAAAATGTGGTTAGTTGATACAAGGTTGAAAGTTCCACCTATAAATAATATCACACTTTTTTCACTATTTTCGACCCCTTTTACCTTATCGAATCGAAGTTATTTTGAAACATTTTAATGTAGGTATTTAATTTACACAATATTTATAGGATACAGCAATTGCTGTATAAGAAATAAAATTTCAATTACTATGTTGGCTTTAGAAAAGAAAAGAAAAGTCAAGTTTATTTTTTTTCTTTCAGTCCGATGAGGATTTTATGAACATGGCAATGGGCTTAGAAGATAAAATGGAATGCGATAACAAAAGTTTGTTATACAGTCCTCCGAAAAACGCATCAATCCCAGAAAGCATAGATTGGAATAAAAGAGGTTACGTAACAAAAGTTGTAAATCAAGTAAGTGTTCATCCTCAAACGCGTCACAAGAAAAACAGATTAAAAAAAATTCCTGTCCAGCATTTTATTGCAGAAAATAACTTTAAATGATTGATAAAACTAACTATACTTGACTAGCAGTAGATATGAAATATACAATTACTGTAAATGGTTAGAAATATAATTTGAACGTGTGCAGACACATTTTTTTATTTTAATTACTCCCTTGGTTTAATAATTTTTTTTCAATCAGAATATGTTAAAAATAACTTGCTCGTTTGGAAAGGGAATTTAAAAATTTGACAAAAATTTAAAATGATGTAGTTTCTAAAATAGATTGTATTGCGTTTGAAAAATTGTATTCGTCCAAGGTACAAAAACACAACAAAGGTACAAAACATTACAACATTAGTACAACATTACATCAATCAGCACACATCAGTACAACATTAGTACAAAAACATGATTTTGGGCGACATTTTTGAAAATGAGTTTATTATAAATTTGAAATTCCCGTACTCTTAGTTTTCCATAAATACTTTACTTTTGTTTGTGTTACAATTATTTACAAAGTTATAGTAGTTTTTGTGCAAGGTGATAACAGTGAATAGACTAATGATTTTAAATCTTTAAATGCGCTTATCTCAAAATCAGATTTTTTCCCTTTTTACTCCTCCTTATACACGATGCCTCATGTTGCTTTTAAAATAATTGTCTACAATTTTTCATGATTGCTTATGATTAAAGCACACATGTTTTGAGTTAAGACTAAGGGGGAAAAGTAGAATTTTATTCTTATGCATGTTTTTATGCAAAGAAAAGTAATGGAATTTTTTAAAAATTTGCTTTTTTAACTACATTGATCGCTTACTCAGTTGTATATACACTTGTTCTTTAGATAATAGTTCAAAACATAGTTGATAGCCTTCTAAATAATATCCTCTAAAGTATTCTGGTTTTAGGTGATTGAAATTCTTTTACTGTGTTTTCAGTATACCCAAAAATGTCTTATTCTTACCTAAGAATGGCCGTTTTTTGAAAGAGTAATAATATTTTCGCAAATTTTATAAGTTTTTACACGTGATAAAACAAGAAATCTAGCTTATTTTAAAATTTTATATTAATATTCCAAAAAAAGTAGTCGAAACTAGTCCGATACCTTAAATTAAATCCTTTTAATAGCCTTTAATCCTTTATCGATCCAGTAGTTATAGTCAATCTGAAAAATTTATAATTGTAATTTTTAAAACACACTGTGTATATTGATTTCTTTTTAATTTCTCAACCAGACGTAGAATTGCTTTACAATCCCAAAATTCAGAATTTAAACCAGGATATTTCAGGCTGGAAATGTACTGCAGGAAACTAATCAGGAATTGAAGAAAAAATTTAAAATTTTAAAAGGTACTTTGCCCGTGCTCGCTTGCTCCAACCCCAATTACTGACCTATCATTCATTTTAATTATTTTACTTTATTGTATGTTCCTTACTGATTTTGGAATGATATGATCATTGCGTGATACGCAAAGGCATTCCTTCAAACAAATAAAGATGTTCATTTAATGCTTAAAGGTGACTCTTTAGAATTATTTGAACATCTATTCTTGATATTTCTGTTTTAAAAACAAACATATACATTATTTTCGCTTGGTGTTGGTTTTGTATACTAAAAACCATGTAAAAAAAATTTTTTTTTGTGTTCAATGAGTTAAAAAGTAAACATTTTTGTACACTTTCGTAGTATTAAAAACACACTCCGTTTCTTTTTCGATTTTCAGATCACTTTACTACTAAAAAATAAAAGAAAAAGAAAAAATTCATGTTGCCTTTTTTCTTTAAATTCTCGTTTCCATTTTTCTTTTTTCCACAAATACTATAAAATCTAAAAATTTACAAGAAGTTATTTATACAAAAATATACAGAAAATAAGATAGAATAAAAAATTTAACACTCAATAATTAGTTCCACAATTATTAACTGTTAAATTTACACCGAAGAACCATTACATTATGACCACCCTGCTAATAACATGTAGGACCACCTTTAGCCCTCAAAACTGCTAGCACCCGCCGTGGCAATGATTTCACAAGGTGCTGATTGGTAATCTGAGGTATCTGGTACCAAGCGCTCACCAACTGGTCCTGCAATTCCCTCACATTGCGAGGGGGTAGCGTGGCAGCATGAATTTGGTTTTCCAATTAAGACCACAAATGCTCTATTGGATTAAGGTCAGGTGAATTTGGGCTCCAAGACATGACTTGAAAGTCACTGGGTTGTCCTTGAACCAATCCATGACGATTCGACCCTTATGACATGGTGCATTATCCTGCTGGTAAACACCATCTCCCGCAGGAAAAACTGTTGCCATGAATGGGTGAACCTGGTTCAAGTAGCTTACAGGATTTACAGGATTATGTTCTATGAGGATTATGGGTCCTAATATGCCCCATGAAAACATTGTTCCTGGGCGAGAAACCATGAAAGCCTGGGCGAGCCCATGGTTATAGATGGAGGGTGGTCATAATGTAATGGCTCTTCGCTGTATAGTAAAAGAACAGACACGGTTTACGGTGCAGCCTGTAGAAAGGCAACTACGAAATTGAAATTTTATGTGTGAAAAGGCCATTTTTATTTGTGAGCTTAAAACGGAATGTTTTTTGCAATTCCGATTCGTTCTAAAATTATTTCATTTTAAAATGCTTTTTAAGAAAAATTAAAGCATATTCTCTCCTGCTAAGAGTAGAAAGAAAATTTATTTATCTCTCAAAATCATTAAGCATCTCAAACAATACCGTTTGAATAAAATCTTTTAAAAACTTTTTTTATTGTTGTACTTTATTTTTAATTCATTTTACGAAACAAAAATACATTTGTTCTCTTTTTTATAAATTACTTTTTATTTAATAATAATTTTTATTCTTCTTCTTCAGTTCTCAATACCTGTTGAATAATATTTTTAAAAAAAGTTTTGTTTTTAATAAATATGTCAAACTATATGACATATTTTAAGTCTAAAATTTGAACAGGGAAGGTGTGGAGCATGCTGGGCCTTTTGTAGCACTGCAGCTCTAGAGGGACAACATAAAAGAATGACAGGCAAATTGGTGAAACTGAGTGAGCAACATTTGATTGATTGTTCGACAGTAACAGGTAATTATTATAACTTTAATAATTATCGGACTGAATATGCTATTTTGAGCTCAAAGAAGATCTCAGACTATTCTTCTTTAAATATTACTAGGTGGCTTTAATTAGCTTTTCTAATTAAGTCCCATTTCGATCGAAACCAATTTTTTTTTTCCTTATCGATAAATGAATTCTTACTTCAAAAATGAGAATTATTCAACGAAGAAATCCACAAATATTTAGATTTTATTTCGCACAGATATTTTTCAACGTATTTAGTTTCCCATAACACAAACTTGTTGATTGAAATCTTATTTTATCAACACGTTAAGTTTTTCAAAGCTCCTCCGCCAAAGAAATAAAAAGTCACATTTTAAGTGTCTTACACACTTGGAGCAAAGCTATAAAGCTTATGATCCACCTTATGAACAGTTGTCTGTGGCAGTGTATATTAGGCCTTCCGTGATTTGGTTGTTGCCCGAGGGCAAAAAAATGCATAGTTCAATGCATACAGTTTTAAAAAAAAAAAAATCTTTAAGCTATATAATTCATCTTGTCGTTAAGAATTACCTAAGTTTTAGAACTGTCAATTAATGTTCTAAATTTTTCTAAAGAAGAAAAAATCACCGATATTACGAGATTTTCCACATTTATGAAAATTATCAAAATCAATGAATGATTCTCAATTTTTAAATCTTTATATGAATCCAGATAATCAAGAGTTGGAATAACTTTTGAAACATTAAAAAATTAGATCACAAAAGCTTTATTTTTTCACAAATTTATGGCTATTTTTCTTGGCGACGTTTTGTGATATTTTCATGTTTAGCAAAGAAGGCGCCGGCTAAAGATAGGCGAAACTTTACCTAAGCGTCATAAATAACTGTTACCAACTCTCAACAGTCAAAAGAAAAGTATATAAAATTTAAAAAAATAATAAATAAAAATTTTTAAAAAAAATCATTATTTCACACGATGACAGAGCCTTAGGAAAAAACTTTTAACTTTTGATCATTATAAGTTGTTATTCGCCAAAGACATTATTTAGCAATAGTCCAAAAAGTTAATATATCTTCGAAATTTTAAATACTAATTTTGCAATAATTATTTTAACTACAGGTATTGATGAGATACAGTTTTCAATAAAACTTATTATAAAAGTAAATATAATATTTAAAAGGGAAATATAAGGAGTTTATTTTTTAATGATTGAGTACCTGCACTTCAAGAAAAAGAAGACCTCCTATATCCCGACATGTGACCTATGACGTTCGCACCAGCAAATCTTTATCTGCAAAATGTCGTATTAAATTTGAGCTAAGTTCTCTACTAAGTTAATTAATGATAAGTTAATTAAATACAACGCCGTATCAAACAACGAATTAGTTGAAATATAATTCTTTCTCATCTTTTACTTAAACTTAGATTTATTATTTGTTTATGTATTTTATTCTAACCGTGATATATTTTGGCTTTGTGTACCTGGCAACTTCGATGCATAATTAGTTTCCTTATGTCCTACGTGGCTTTATGTCTGTCTTTGTGTTAAGTAAGAAATATGTAGTGAAAGAATTTAAATATTAGAGAAAGAATCTTTGTGAAAGAATATAGAATGTGTGAATGTGCCATTTAAAGGAATTTGAACTTGGTGGGCTTAGCTTACTCGAAATAGAATGGAAAGAACAGTTGCTAATGTAAACAAATGCCACGTTACCAATCAGGATCGAGATACCCACACTACGTCACTTGCAGGTATCCCGTTATAAAATCGTAGCTAAATGTGTTTATTATAAAATATATTGTAATAAGCTAAAGTCATTAGATTACTTTATAATGAAGTAGCACCACTATTGGTTTTAAGATATTAATTTTAAATAATAATCTAGTCTAAAAACTAATACTGAAATGAACAGTATTTTAAATGGCTGACACATATATATTATAGATAACTATTATAAAGAATGTGATAAATGAGTAACTTACAGGGAAATATCACTTTAAATTTCGTTAGTTCTGTGGTATTGATAGCCTGTGATATCTGGATAATCTTTGCTTATTAACCGTCATATCATTAATTATTTTGTCCAATAAGATTTGAATCAGAAAGGGAGAGACAACGATTTGAGATAATAATCTTTTTTATGATATACAATAATACATAATTAATGTTTTATGATATACAGCTAATTTTTTGTCTAACGAGATTGCATCGATAGCAGAATCAAAAACGGAAGGACAACGATTTTAAATAATCATCTTTTTTGTGATATACAATTATATATAATTAAATGTTTTATGATATACAACTAATTTTTTGTCCAACGAGATTGTATCGATAGCAGAATAAAAAACGGAAAGACAACGATTTTAGATAATCCTCTTTTTTTATACAATTATGTACAATTAATTGTTTTATGATATATTATTAATTTTCCTGTCTTATTAAATAGTACCAACAGCAGAGTCATAAACGGGAAAACAATGATTTTTGGACAAAATTTTGATGTGGAATCAAGGAAGGAAAATCTTAGTTCACTGTCATAATCAGGGGATCTGACATTACTAAAAATAAATTATTATAATTTAGAGGAGATTGTGCAACACAAAGTGTCTTTTAAATGTTTTCGTTGTAAGAGTGTGTAAGACTTTTTTCATTTTTAAGTTCGGCTTAAAAGCAGTCTTTTGAAGTGTTCAAATGAAAAATGTTAAAATTATTCAATTTTTTAATCGTTAATATTTCAGTAAGTAAAATTTTAAAATAAAATTCTATTTGAATTTGACATACATTAATATTTTGATAGCGTTTTGAAATTTTACTATACGTAGCAGAGTCTTACGATATTAGCATGTAAAAACCCAATCATTAAATCAAAACTCTTGCAAGGCTCACAGTTTTTTTTCTGATAATCTTTATGAAACAAATCATAGGTGAAAGTTATTAAATCGTAATATTTATCATCCCTTTATGGCACTTAATTACACTGGTGGACAAAATTAAGAGATGGAAAGCATTTTCGCACATTCATTCGCACATGCAAGATACCCACACACCACTCCATGTGTTTGACAATGGTTCTGTGATTGCCCAGAGGTACAGGCAGGAGGTCCTAGAGCCCTATGTGCGTCTTTTTTGGGGCGCTGTTAGACCTTTGTTCATTTTTATGGACGACAATGCGCGACCACATAGGGCTCTCATGGTTGATGAGTATCTGGAAAGCGAGGATATTCAACGAATGGCCAGCCAAATCCCCTGACCTGAATCCTGTTGAACATGCTTGGGATGCTCTTGGAAGAGCTATTGCGATGCGCCAACCTCCCCCCAGAACCATTCTGAAATTAAAAATTGCTCTGGTGGAAGAATGGGAGGGTCTTCCACAAGTCCTCCTTAACTCCCTTATTAACAGCATGCATACTCGTTGTGCATGCTGTCTGTCTGTCAGGGGTGAACATACACCATACTAAAGGCAACACACACTGTACAAGCCTCACTTTTATTGTCATCTTTTATCCTTAAGTTCTGACTACATTGGATTTATTGGCAATAGGTCTTGCCAGCGAATGGCACTTTCATTTTTGTTTTGCATACTTTATTATCATGGAATAAGCTAGATCCATACCAAATTTCATTGATTTATACTCAGTATTTATTGAGATATTTGGGAAAGTGTCTTCCATCTCTTAATTTTGTCCACCAGTGTAGATAGATACCAATCTCATTAATTTTTTACAAAAAATTCACTCAAATATTTTCTTATTTTTACAGTTGTTTTACTAATATTTAATATTAATATTTATCATTTAGTATAAACATTATAAATTAGGTATTAAGTAAAATTAAGAAGTGTATTAAAGTAAAATGAAGTTTCCAACAATACATTATTTTAATCGATTTTAGGTAACAAGCAATGCAGGGGAGGGCGAATGTGTAGAGCTTATGAATATGCAGCAGCTGTGGGAGGTGTACTGGCAGATAAATACTATCCATACGAAAATAAGGTAAAACACAATTTTATTTTATTGACAGTAACTTATTATTTTTTTAGCAATTTATACAGATATTTTAATATTTTTTTATTCATTAAAGAGTTTTGCGATCCTGCTGTTCATAAACCACTTTATTTAAATGCAGATGACTTTGTGTAATGCGTCATTTTTAATCTTCTATTTTTCTCTCTCTTCTCAATATCTTCATTTTTCTCTTTTATGACTTAAAAGTACGGTTTTTAATAAATTAAGTCAAAGCAAAGAATCAACTTTTTTAAAGGATAAATTTAAGTTATTTTAACTCTTTTCCAATTTACTGTTTCTAATTAAAGTCGATTTAAAGTGAAATAAGAAGATTCCTGTTTTCTTTGAAGAACATCTCCATTATATCGCCTAAATCACATTATACTGTTTACATTTGACGCATTAAAACCAACTCCAGCTATTGAGTCATGAAATTTTACATTCAGCTCAAATCAGTAAATATAATGGTCCTGGGTCGCACCAACCATAACTCTGACGGAAAACATCTCATATGGTTTATATAACTGTCTTTGAACATCCAACCCAATTTTTTGGGTTTACGACTACTAGTGTTCAACTCCGTTGCCTTGTAATTTTGAATTCAATCCAGAAGACAAGGGAACTCCTGCATCAAGTAGTGGAAAGCATTTGCCTTCGTGGAGGACTTTTTGATGGAACTAATCCACATTTGCGTTACATAGTGAGGTAAACTATGAACACTACCCACGGTTTGTCTGGCGGCAAGGAGACTCTAACCCATGATCCGTCTACCACTGAGGATATTTTATGTCAGCATAGTGGTCAGTGCGAGCCGGGTGCGGAATTCGTATCGATCAGCCATCGCTGGGATTCTAACCCGGTTCACCTCATTGAAAGGCAAACGCTCTACCCCTAAGCCACCACGGCTCATCTAATATGATTGCCGAATCAGCGCTTGGGGTCCCCCGCCTCCCACTTCATAAGGAGAGGTTTTCATGCCTTCTTTCTCTATTCACTTGAAAATTCCTCCACGATGGTGAGTTAGTCTTCATGCTTGAATCTCGAGTTCTCTTGACTTCTGTGTTGGATTTAAAATTACAAGGTTAGTGTGCTGAACATTAAGATCCAGTCGGATGTGGATTGATTTTTCACCAAGAGCAATTAAATAATAATAATAAAAACATGGAGAAACAAAATGTAGAAATCAAATTTTCAAAAATAAAGTTTCAAGTTTCATATTTTGAAGTATCATATTTGCAACAGTAGTTCATTAGTTAATTAACCACTATACATTATTAATTATTGTCTGTAATTTGTACTTAAAAATGCACGGAAATTTAAAATGAAAAGTTTTTTATTTAACAAAAAAAAATTTACAAGAGTTCACTTATATTATTGATTATTTTATTTTAATTTGACTAGTTAAAAGCCTCTCCTGAAGTTTCTTAGGATATTTGACTATATAAGCATACTATTATATTAGGCTTTATTAGCATTAAATTATCAATTGTTATAAATGAAGTGATTTAAAAGGAATTTTAAAATATATGCATTAAAATTTTACAACTAAGAACTTGCACTTCAAGAAGAAGAAGAAGGTCACAGATACCCACACACGTGACGTATAACGTCAGCTTCAGCTGTTCTCTTATAAGCAAAATGGCGTGTTAAAGTTAAGCTAAATTTCGAAGCTATGGTCGATCAAGATCAACTATAAACCAATCCTAGATATCCTAGACCAATCCTGATGAATTGTTAGACATCTATAGATATCTAACAATTGATAAACCACGATATCTAACCAATTAGGATGAAATCTGATTTGAGCTCTGTTTTGTCAAAATATGTTCGATACGTCATAGACTAGTTAAAAATATGCTCGTTACGTTACAATATTATTTTAATTTGTTCCACTTGACGAAAAAATTTGATATTCATTTGAATGTCGTTGTATATGATCGAAGGAGTTTGAAATAGCATAGATATACATTATTAAAAGTTGAGTCAAAGAAATTTACACATTAGTAAGCGATATTTTTAAAGCAAATATTTGCAAAAAAAGTTTTTTTAATGTTTAAATTAAATTTTTTAACGAAATGAAACACAATTATTAGAAATGGAGTAATTTTTAAATATTGTCTTTAATTGCTATAATTCAAAAAGTACGTTTTTATAAAATATCTAAAATTTTATAAAAAAATATTATTTCCTGTGTTAAATTTGACACTTTTCACTTGAACCATAACATGAACATTGAAATAGTCATTTAAAAATTAACTGAATTTGAATTTATTGAAGCTTTTGATTCCTAACATGTGTATCACAAATAAAACGTATTTTCTAGGGAGGTAAATGTAAATTTAATTCGAAACACATAGGTGCGAAAATAAAAGGATATATAGAAATCCCATACGGTGATGAACATGCACTTCTTATGGCTGTGGCTTTGATTGGACCCGTAGCTGTAGGTTTAGATGGATACAGGCCAAGATTTAGACATTACAAGTAAATATTTCTTTTATTTTAAGTTACGTACTCAAAACATTTCTCTTAACGTATAGTTTTTAAACGCTATACTTAACACGTTTGTGGACTTCTGCACTTTTCGTAAATGTTGTTATTTCTAATGCCATTTGTCAAAACCAGCAAGCCTGCTTGGTGAAACCAAACGAATTTAAGGCAAGAGGGAGCATGTCTCGTTTTTCGTTGGCGCCATCTATGACCAAAAATACGACCTCAGCCGCACACAAGTCACTGTCCTTTAATAAGGCGCAACCATTTATGCATCCATTCATCCACAAATCATAATTTTGATCTGAACCAGCGAACGATCAATCTCCAATTCAGTACCCCCAGAGTTATGATTTGTTGTGGGAACATGGAGGAACTTGTGACCCGACAGATTTAATGAGCACTAGTCACCATTTACTACACGGGAGTCTTCGGTAGGTGGGAATCGAACTCACGACCCCTTGGACAAGGGTGCAACCCCCTACCAACCTGGCTATCCCAGCCATACTCTTCGTAAATGGAATGAACGTGCCAAGGTTATGCGATTCCTGCGCTGTTCATTCTTTTTACACTCTCAGTTTGCAGGGTTTCGGCGAATCTCGTGTTTTTCTTTTTATTTAGTAAGAAGTTGGAATATACTTGTGGGGGGGGGGGGAAGAAGCAAGGCCAAAACTATGGCAATGGTGTGGAAAGAGAGGAAATGACATGTGACTCCTATTCTGTTTACAAAGAATATTGTCTGTCTTTAGTCCATCACGAAGAATTTTTCAGTTTATCCACAAATGTGTTAAACAAAATGTATCACATCTTTCACAACACGCATATAAAACGAACATTTTATTCTAAAATTCTTCGTTAAAAGAACAAATTCAGGCTTTGAAATATGAAAATCGTTATTTACATTGATTGAACACGTGTAACAAATATGCATTTTCGAATGCACATATATCTTTTTTACACGGCAACGAAAAATTCATTATTTCTCTTTTACTGATTGGCAACAGTTTTTTTAAAAGAAATTAAAGCAATTAAAAAAATTAATATATATATTTGAGACGTTTTTGCTTCGTTGAAAAATTTTAATATATATATATTTTCATAAATTAAACCCTTACAAATAAAGTAACGCTTGTATCTAAAGATAAAATATAAATTTTCAATATCCTACTTATTAAAAAGCAGTGAACAGTAATTTTACTTTTATTTGATGGTTATTCCTGTTTTCACTTATAACATAGTTGTTCTTTGTTGTAAAATAAAGTTGGCTTTATTCATCAGTAATGGTTTTTAAGCTTTACTAGCCGTTCATGGTGACCTGCCCAGACACTTTCACGAACTCATGAATTCGGAAGCACTACGCCTGCATTGCATGGTGCTTTTAAATTTGAAATTTCGGCAATTTTAAAAAGAAACCTAAGTGCTATTAACTAAATCTCAATTTAAAATCAGATTAATAAAAACTCTAAGAATTAAAATAAATTCTGAATCTTTAGTTGTTATTGTGTAATATTAAAGAAATTATTAATTCCTTAATTATTTTTGTTACAATGATGTAGTTTTTGCTGAATTCATTTATGTCGCTCACGTATTTAAAATAAAATATCCCAATTTTGATATATACAGTACAGAACCCGTTATCCGGAAATCAGAAAACCGGAAAACCAAAAAACCGGAACGCAATTCGATAAATTTTCCAACCATTTTTTAAAAAAAAAAATTTTTTTTCCTCATAAGATTTTAGTATTTTTCTTTCTTTTTCGAAAGATGTTTACCTTACCATCATTTCGGANTTGATGGAACTAACCCGCATTTGCGTTACATGTAGAGGAAAACCACGAAAATCCCCCATGGATACCTAGACTCTAACCCATGATCACTGATAACACTGAGGATATTTTATGTCAGCACTGGGATCGGTGCGAGCCGTCTGCGGAATTCATATCGACCAGCCATCGCTGGGAATCGAACACGGTTCACCTCATTTGAAGGCGAACGCTAAATTCTAAAAAATTAGTTCGATCGTTTCGGAATTTATCTCATTCATGTCATCTTGAAAAATTCAATTCTCCCCTTCAAATCACCCCCATTTCTTTCAAAAAAAGAGGAAGTTTACAGAGGATCAAGAGTTGGAGAGTTTTAATGTATCATTTATAATGACACGAGAATGGTTTTTCTGTCTAAAAACATCTTCGGTTTTAGTTTGCTCAACGAATCATCCTTTTTGTTTCGCTTTAATTACGAGACTACAACAATAGTATTGAAATAAAGAGATGGGAATTATTTATGCTCGTACTACAGCGAAAAATTGCACATAATATATATTGAAACTAAATTACACGTTTTCATACTGTTGGTACTTCATAAATTGGTACTTCATAAGTTACTCTGGTATATTTGGTAGGCCACTTAAGTTGATTTTTTTATGTAATATGATGAAATGAAACTATATAATTATTTATAAAACAAGTTTCAAATAATATTCATTATTTTACGACTTTCTAAATGCTTTCTTCTATATTTTTGAACTGTTAGATCTGGTATCTATGAAGACCCTGGATGCAGCAATACAACTTTAACACATGCACTTACAATAGTAGGGTATGGCACAGAAAATGGAAAAGATTATTGGTTGGTGAAAAATAGGTAGGTCTCTTTAATTGATTCACATAAAACAGTGTTTCCCAAACTTATGACTTTTGTGTACCCTTTCTAAAATTTTCGTAGCGCTGTGTACCACTAATAAAAGAATGAATGTATTTTTTACTATAAAAAAATTGCACAAAAGTTAAAAATCCCAACTGACTGTTGACACCACTAATTACGAACAGTTAACTTTGCAAAAAATAGCCAATAGAAAATAGATCTTCATGGCTAGCTTTGTTTTTAAATAAAATTTTCGTCTGTTTCAAGATATTTCGCATAAGAACGCGTACCCCCGTTAAACTATTCCCGTACCCCTGGGGGTACACGTACCACACTTTGGGAAACACTGACATAAAATAAGCTGCTCATGGGTGTAAATCAGCACAATCTAGATAGTTAGTCTGCTCTTATTATTGGAATTTATCATGACATATTTAGCTTTTTGTGTTTGAGATATAATTTTGTTCGCGCGTTAATTAGTAAAAATGATAAATACTGCTAATTAGCCGGCCGTTGTAGCCTGATTGGCACGGCGCTGCATTCGCGTTCGTGAGAACGGCAGTTCGAATTCAGCCTTCCGAAGACTCTCCGTGTGGTACAATTCTTTAATTCATACAAGCTCTTAAGTGGTCAGTTTTTTTTAAGTTTTTTTTAATGAAACTAAGGGTCTGTCGACTCCTGGACGCTTTCCCTCGTTGATCCTCAAAACAACTTTACGACTCGGTAGTCGCTCATCAGTTGCTGAAACATAGTAGTCTAGTGTTTTCGCTTAAGCAAAATGCTCGAAAATTTTTTTTAGGACGCAAAAAAAATTCTTCGTTTATTTATTGCTAATCGAACTTTAGATGTTTAAAAACAAACTAAGAGTGATACACCAAGAAAGATGTTGCTTACACCACAAAAAAATTGATAAAATAAAGTATAATAAAGAGAAAAAACAATAATTTTTAAAAACTGCGTTTTTCATGTTCAAAAGGAAGAAAATAATTTTTTTTCCCTAACCAAATACGAAAGACATCCCTCCGTAATAAGCTTCTATTACTACCGGACTTTAGTTGGAATCTATGCACCCCAATTTTTCTGCGTAGGAGGTTAGACAAAAATATATTAATTTTCTCCCTTTTTAGATTACTTAAAAAAAACGAAGTATTCAATTTTTTTAAATTTTGTTTTAGTGTTAGTTTTAAAACTGAAATATCCCATAGTTTCACTTTAAATCAATCCACTACTACATGAAATCTTTTAGTGTGAAAATAGTACTTTTATTAATGCTTTTTTTTTAAATAAGGAATAACTGAAGACAAAAAGTAGAAACTATAATATTTCAAGCGTAAAAACTACAATATTTCCCATCGATATTTTTTCACACGAGTTTTGTCTTTACCAGAAATCATCTCAACAATATTTTGAAAGCATGATTATTTTCTACGAGGTTTTGTCCTTCATATGAGAAGAGTACATCTTCCACTCGGAAATAAAGTACAGTCAAACCCCGCTATAGTGAACCTTCATGGGACCGAAATTTCCGTTCACTATAACCGGGAGTTCACTATATCCGTAACGCAGGCAACTTAACTAATGGTTCCCAAACTCCTCCCTTTTATTACACATTGTTCAAATAAATGACTGAAAAATATTATGTAGTAGCAAAAAATGTGTTATTTTCCATTATTCTTTGCCTTGCGTACAAAAAAATTTTTTTAATCTTTAGCTGATGAGCAATCCTCAACATCAGAAATGGAAAAACTTCCCGACTCTCAGATAATTTTTCCTGAATTTCTGTTATCCTGCTTTTTAAACCTGTCTAACCTGCCTATCGAGAACATAAAAGTAGTCTCATAAAATCGCTTAGCAAATTCATCGACATTTGTTTAGATACTTCGATTGGTGAACCACTTCAGTAATGCTTCTTCAACATCCTTGTGATCTGCTTTTCTCAACTTTTTTCTGCCATCTTAATTTTTTTCATGAGCAGAAATTATTAATTGCCTATTTTTCCATATGTTACAAACTGCAGATTTGGATAGTTTATATTCCCTGCAAATATCAGCTTGATTGCATCAATTTTCAATTTTCCTGATTATGCCCATTTTATCATCAATGGAGAAAGTTTTACGTTTACTGCTCGCCATAGTTAAATTTGAGACACTTGATTACAGGATATTTTAAACTGAACTGAGAGCAAAAAGGAGTTGAAATGAGGGCCTTATCAACGTCCAACCCTTTGACGAATAATGAATAATTGCTCATTGCCTCTGACATAAAATGCATATTGATCTGACTGGCACCTTACAGGGGCATCGTCTGCCTGGGTTGGAAACATCTGCTTTGCTTGTTTAGGGATGGGAAAGTGAGATAAAAGAAGCAAACAAGAAAAAATTCTTATCGGTACATTCCCCTCTATAGATGGTTTTGAAAATCGGTATATGTATTTTTTTCTGAAGTAGAAATTTCAAAATTACAACAAAAAAAAAATCAGTTGAAGACAGAAAAAAGTTCATTATATCCAACTTCCTAATTTTTTCGGTTCACTATATCCACAAAAAATAACATTATCCACATATAGCAAGGCACGGGACCGAACATTTCGTTCACTATATCCGGGAGTTCACTATAAACCGTGTTCATTATAGCGGGGTTTGACTTTATTACTTTTATTTGGGATCAAAAGTGAGGTTTAGTTGTGATTTGGAATTAAAGATCCTCTGTAGATTGAAAAAAAATTCTTCATCTGTGTTTACCAATAGAGAAATATATAGGCACAATTTTCAATTAATATTTTGTACCTACTTAATACTTTGTATTTGTTTCACTTTAATCAATGATATGTTTTCTATTTATCTTAGCAACTAAATTTTTTATCTTAAAGTTGTCAGCATTTTTAAAACTTTTTCAATGTTCAAGTTTTAAAAATATTTTGTAGCTAGATTCAATGGAAAGTATATCAATTAATATATATATATATATGTTGTTGACGTGTGCCTGTTTAGGCAGAGGGGGTGCGATTATTCTCGCTTTCCAGTGGCGCCATCTATGACCAAGAATTCGACTTTTCGACTTCTGCCACACCATACGCCACACCCGTTTACAAGGCGTACCCATTCATACATCCATTCATTCATCCACAGATCGTAATTTTGACCTGAATCAGAGAATGATCGATTTCCAATCCAGTACCCTCAGAGGGGACAGTACCCTTTGTTATGGGAACATGGAGGACTTTTGCGACTCGACAGAATTAAAGTGCATCAGTCACTTTACTACACGGGGAGTCTTCGACCGGCTGGGTTCGAACCCATGAACTCTCGGGCATGGGCCCAGTCGTAACGGCCCAGCGCCCTACCAACCAGGCTATATATACATTGGTTTTCTTTGCGTTCAATTATGGCACTTGGCGTTTTTTTATTGTCACTGTGGCTTTTTTTTAATTTCCCTTGACAAAAGAGCTTCGAAAAATGTTGTGAAACAATTAGTGTAAGAAATAATTATATTGTTGTTATTTTGATGATTATTCAAATGGTTTATTTTACAGCTGGGGACCACATTGGGGAGAAGGAGGGTTCGGGAAAATTGTTCGAAACAAAAACAATCATTGTGGATTAGCAAGTAGAGCAGTGTTTCCAGTTATGACAGAAGATGAAAACGGAGATCCTGTGCTGCGTGGACCAAGAGCTCAGTAAAATTTTGGAGAAAAAAATGAACGCAAAATAAAAACACTTAAATAATAACTTTCAAAAGAAATTTAATTTATTACAAATGCACATATGAAATGCTTCTGAATGTTTTGTTACGCACAATGCCATGATGTAAGATAGTGTACATATTATTGCACAATAAACTTTATTTATCTGCAACTGTGACAGGTGAAACTTAGAATTCTTAATCAGTTGCAATTGAAACTTGTCTTTATGTATCTTTGCGGTCGAAATTTGTTGTATCGAACAATGAACGCCCTTAATGTATGGTTTTAGAATCCCTGTTAGAGAAGAAGGAGGAACAAAAAGCACCAATACCAGTTTGCTTGTCAGATAGAACTAGGAGGTATTTCTGATAATAATTTTTCCCTCCTCTTTGCTTCTTCCGGCAATTAAACATGTTTTGATTTCTTTAAATCTTATTTTCCTTTGTAATGATTTTTCAGATTTAATAACGGTTTTGTTTTCTTCTCTGCATAAATATTACCTTGTGATCGTTAATGTGTTACCTTGTTTTACTTTATTTTTGACACAGTTTCTAAAAATATATGTACTAAGAATGAAACAATCGTAGTTTGCCCTACATGTGTTGGAATTGAAACTTTTTATTATGTATATACTACAGTCGAAATTTGTCAGAGTATGTAAGTTAATAAAATTGTAAGTTTTGTGATTGTTTATTCATTTTAATAATGCTTCAATCAATCGAAAGGGACCCAACATTTTATATTTTCTACCACTTCCTTAACATTTTTAGCATCCGTTAGAATAGAAGTTAAAAAAAACTCGCAGTGCTTTTTAAGAGGTAGTTTTAGATTACGCCGCAATGGTTCTATGATGGTCAGTTTTGAGTCAATTTAAAACGAAAGTTTGTTCCAATTGCTTTTCTTTCAATTTTGATAAATTTTGTGTTCTCTACTTAATAAAAAGCACGTCATTTATTTATTACCGCAAAATTCAATTGCCAGCATTTCGAAAGTAAAATAAACGGCCTCAAATGCTTGTGACCAAATCCAAATTTCCGAAATTTTTGATTGATTTGTTCCCGGGTGATAATAAATAAAAATGTAATGAAAAGTAAATATACTTTTAATGGAAGTTTTTTTTATTTGTTTGTTTTATTCCTAGAATTCCATACCTTTTATTCCCACAATTCCAGATTTACGAAGTTAATATTGTTAGTTTAATATTTAAATACAGGATGTTTCGTAAATATTATCCTTAACATATATTTTTAGAATGCTTATTAAAAATGAAAACAAAAAACAAGTATATACACTGGAGGTCACAAATTGATATTTATGTGAGGGAAAAAATGCTTTCGAAATCCGACAAATCACGATATAGGAAGGCGAGAGTAATAAACAACAAGACAGGTTTGATTGAGAAAGGAAACATAGAGGAGTAATTAGATAAATTACTAAACACACTTTCAAGTTTCAATTTATAACTAAGCCTGTTTTAATGTTTATTACAACTGTCACCCATCGCTGTGATTGGTTGGATTTTGATAGCGTTTTTTGTTTTTTCCTCGGTCAAACAATAATTTGAGACCTCCAATAGGTATGCTTTTTGGTTTTCATTTTTTATTTTCATTTAACTCGGTCATTTTCATTTTAAGAATACATAGGTATGGGTTTTCTTAAAGAAAAACTGTGTATTTTTAAAGGGTTATTAAAGCACCGTTAAATAATCTTTATCTGTTTATCGAATATCTTTAAATAAAATTAGAGATCCAATTTAAAATTCAAGAAATAAATTGAAAAAATCTCTTCCTTCCTTTTTATAATATTGTTTATAAGATAGGTGTTAGTTTTTCACCGAATAAAAGATATTATTTCAAAATTTATTTAAACAAAACTGTGAAGCACAAAAGCATTTGAACAAAGAGTTCTCCTCAAAGCCGCACTATACACAGACACTATGAAATAATCAACAATAACAACGCTTTTTTTCTTGTCTAGTTAAATTTAATTCAGAGTTAGTCCGCTAAAAAACAGAATTAATTTTGACAAAATTAATGCACCACATCACTTTCCCCTACATGTTTAGCTGTCACTGGTTTTCTTTGCAATCAGTTAGGGTTTAAAATAAAACTGACTTTTTTTTTCACTGTATGGGAAAACAGAGAATTATATAGATATTTTTTTAACAATTATCAATATCTGTAATTGCGTTAGTATATTTCCTTGCACTTTTTTTTATAAATGGTTTGTCTTTCAAAAAATATTTTAAAGAAATATTATTTAATTTCCCTTTCCAAATTGAAATAGACATGTTTACGCACTCATGCACTTTACGTCGATTCGCAATCTTTCAATTTATTTCGTTTTATAGACCATTTGGGTGAGAATATAAAAATTCAATTAAAAAAAGTTTTTCTTTGATGGCGTTATCTGACAAAAAGGCGTCGATGTGCAAACAAAAAGCATGATTCGTTATTACGTGCGCAAACAGCAAAATTCAGAAGTTGTTGTCGTATTTGAAACTAAACAACATATTTTTTGCAAATTCTTGTTCACTATGTGTGTGGCATAGTCAATTAATTGCAATTGTATGCAATTTTTGAATTTCGCGTCAAGCATTTTGATTTGAGTCAGTAGGTAAGATAAAACTTCCTATTTAAATGTCAAATTGAATGTAATGCTAGCACAATTCTATATTATTTTAATTTGGCATCAATCCGTTCGAATTTCACCATAGAGTGACTTTTTCTAATATTCAAAATAAGCAAAAGTGTCGGATTTGTAAGGGAGTTAATAACTCATTAATGATAATCAATTCATTAATTTTTGATGAATGTGATGTACACATTTTTCAAACACAAAGGGTTCTATATGATGTTTTAATTATACTTATGCCGATTCAATAATAATAATTTTATACATAGTTATTATTATTCATTGAGAAATTAGTATTAGTCATGCTGTTACCCTTTTTAAGTATAATAAAAACAATCGTGCTTTAAGAGCAGAAGAAAGCGTTGATGACAATTATGAAAAACATAACGTTGAAAGAATGTGTAGGAGAAATATCGTCATAAATGATTTAACTGTTAATATCTTGATTACGACAGCGGTTCCATGATCGAAATATGTAGTTTTTGCGCTGCTCTCTCCTGGAAAAAAAGTATAAAATTCTGTTGTTGTTGTTTCTAATGTCACTTGCCACACGAGCAAGTCTGCTTGGTGAAAGCGAGCAAATTTAACGTAGTGTGCGTTTCTTGTTTTTCAGTAGCGCCATCTATGGCTAAGAATTCGACTTCTGCCACACCATACGTCGCACCCGTTTATAGGGTGGACCCATTCATACATCCATTCATTCATCCACAGATGGTAATTTTGACCTGAATCAGAGAACGATCTATCTCCAATTCAGTACCCCCAGAGATATTGATTTTTTATGGGAACATGGAGGACTTTGCTACTCGACAGATTTAACGTGCATCAGTCACTTTACTACACTTGTCTTCGGCCGACGGGGTTCGAACCCACGAACTCTCGGACATGGGCCCAGTGCCCTACCAACCAGGCTATCCCGGCATGTATGAAATTCTTCTGAGAAATACTAGAAAAAATATAGATAAATGTTGCCATGATGTAAAAATCCAGTTGCCGGACTTTTCGATCATTTCTAATTTGTTAAAAGATTTACTATATGAGAATCGAATCGAAAATTTTAATAATTGGTTAAAATTCTTAAGATTTTACGTTCGAACACATTTAACATGGGTTTAACGTCATAGTCAACGAAGCGATCATGGTCTTCAAAGCAAGCCATGTTAGGCTACATAGCTACAGGGTGCGTAGTCAAATTATTCAACAAAAAATAAGCACCTTTTAAGAACTTTTCAAGCACTCAAGAAACATTTTAAGCACTTTAAAAAAATGTCATAATTAGGCAGGGTTGGAGAGTTTTTGAAAATTGACGGTTTCATCTTGTTTTAACCGTCATGTCAAAAAAAAAAAAAAAATCTTTTGGCATTGTTTTTGACTATTGTCAAAAATCATGAAATTTTGAATCATTTAAAACGAATGGCGTTTTCATACGCTACTGACTGACAATACGCCGAAATAGATTGAGGCTGAATTAATTGTGAAAACGTTGAATAGAATGTGAACTGTATCTTTTTGCATAATTCGAAGCGAAAATCAACATAGTAAAGGAAAAATCTCATTTTGAAAAAGGGAAAATTAAGCACTTTTTAAAAACACCTAATGAAAAAAGCACCTTTAAGGGCTTTTAAAAATCGAAAATAAGCATCTTTAAGCATTTTTTAAAAACCCTACGAGCCCTGAGCTATCTTCGGAGCCTAGTGAGCGTTATCGAACAGGGGATATTAGTATTATTTATAACCGTAATGTAGGGGTTTCCAGTGTGAGAACGAAGAGGTAAAAGGTTATCAGGAGGTGTCCATAACTTCAAATCTAATATTATTCTTTCAACAGTAATCTGTTACTTAAAAGGAAAATGTTTCAAGGTAAAGTTGATAATTTTTTGGATATCTGTAAGAAATGAGTACGAATATTTTGTCCTAAGTAAAAATGATGTAAGGTTTTCTTTAAAATTATCCTGGCTGATTTATATCTATGCAGGGTTGCAGCAGTTGCTGTTCTGAATCATCGTTCGAAAAAAGTATATAGATATGTGTCTTCAAAAAAGAAATAGTAATGTTGAACTTTATTAGGTGATTTGAAAAGTTATGCAGAAGCTAACTCTCTCAACACACTAAAATAAATCAGAATACCTTCAAGCAGCGGTTCCCAAAAGGTGTTCCGTGGAACCCTGAGGTTCCGTGAAAGGATTACAGGAGCTCCAAAAGTAGAATTTTTTTTTCTAAGCAAGAATGATTATATTTATATCAAATCAACAATTCATAATTTATTTAATATTTCGGTTGCTAATATGAAATTATTTGTGTGAAATGTCAATAAAAAAGTAGCAAAATTTTAAAAAAATTATTTTTTTTCAATATGAATACATTGAATAAATTATGAAAAGAATATGCATCCATAAAAAATTATTTAAGAATTTCTCATCGAGTTTTTAAATTCGAAATAAAATAAATAATTTCAAAAATAAAGTATTACGTTCCTGTTCACTATTCTCAATGTCTATTAAATTTAAAAAATAAATAAATAAAAATCGTTTTAGCAAATGCATATACCAAGAGCAAATTCAAAATGCTAAAGTATTTCTTTCTTTAGATAAGACATTTTCAAAATAATTAGCAGTTTTTTCGTTAATATATTCACACCTGCTAATGAACTTCTTTTATAATGCATATTTTTTGCATGCATTTCCGCCAAAAGATCTTTTAGGGTAACGAAGCAGAGAAAAAAATTCTAGTGGTAGAGTGTGGATAATATTTTTCCTTTATTTATATTTTCTCTTATATTTTTTTACACAAATTACATAACATATTATCACTAGAACTTCGTATCAATTATATTTAAAGTGCTTGAGTTTATTCTAAGTAAGAATTATGTTAACAATTTTTAAATCTTATATTATATAATATTAAACACGCCAGATGACCAAAAAATGACCGCTGACGTGAAAAAAATCAATCAAAAAAGAACAGAAGAAGATAGATGGCTTGACGAGCTCTGTTAAATAAACTAGTTCTCTATCCTCGTCCATTTTTAAAGTTAATGACAACGCTTGTGAACAGATGGCACTACTGTCTGGAAAACTATAAAGCAATATTTTCTTACATGTCAGACCTTTCTAAGATTATTTATACAATTTCAACACCTTTTTACTTCAATATTTTTCCAAAAATATTTACAGGAATTTATGTTAATTTTGTCCCCGCCATGTTGTTTCTGAAAATAATGGCTATATTTGGATGACATTTCCAAGTAATGCAAGCGAGAATTCTCCTAATTTTAATTTGGTAGGGGAATTTTCGTTCTGAAAAGATGCTTTTTCCTGTTACTTCTTTTGAAGGTTGACAAGCATATTGCAAAATAGCAATAATAATAATAATAATGATAAGTAAATAAATATAGCACTCCCGAAGAAAATAGTTGTTTATTAAGAGGGTCATGAAAGTTAAAGTTCCATAACTTTAAGAATAACATCTTGATTGTCAACATCATGCTCCGGTCACCTTTACTTCTCTGACAAGCTAATACCTATCGATCTGAAGCTAGCAGGATTCAAGCAACCACCAGCGATAAAAACTCCGATCTTTGTTAAAGTATTTCTTAATCTTTCATTTTTAGTCCGTTTGTTTCTTCTATGAAAAAAAAAATTACAAATTTTTAAGAAAAAAAGAAATGAAAAGATTTAAAAAGAAATTCCATGGCGTCTTTTAACAGAACAGGAAAATTCGAAAGAAAAATAATTTTCTTTTGATCATAAAAATATTTCAGATAAAAAAGGATTAAACACACTGGTTTAAAATCAACCAGTTCAAATTCTCTAACAAGTACTAATCTGTATTTAATTCGAAAAGAATTACCAAAAAGTCTATTTTTTTCCCTTGCTTAAAGCTTTTGAAGTGCTAGGTTATCGATTATTTTATTTTAATTCAGTCCAATTAAAATTTATCATGAAATTTGTACAACACGTAACTATAATAGAATGAGAAAAATATTTTAAATTTCTGGTTTAAACATAAATTAGTTTAACCTCGTGAATACTCCTACTATACTATTTTAACGAGACAAGCAAAGGTTTTTATAAGATATTATTTTCTCATAAAATATCGCGATATTTTTATTGTAAGTTTTATCGGTTTAAAGCAAACATAATGCGCAAAACCGTAACAACATCATTCGGCGACATGGATGTTATGACGATATTCCTCAATAGTGGATTATGATGTTGAAAAGTTCATTTGAAGTATAAAACAAATAATTGATTTGCAACATGTATAAAATAAAAGAAGTCGTAAGGGAATTGCTGTAAAAAATAAACCATCGTTCTCTTCTAAAGGATAAGAAATTGAATAACATTATGAAATTTGTATATAATCAAAGTTATTAGTGAATGCACGTTTTGTAGCTATGGGAAACTCTTTATTCATGAAATAATAGTGTGGAATAAATTAAAACTAAAGTAACTTCTTATTAACCTATTACGGATCATAGAAATGAGATGGAAGCGCTACCTCGGGCTCGCAAGCTCCGAGATTATACGCATTCCCGTTAAGACTAATTTCATTTAAAAATTCAAATAAAATCATTACTGCAATCAAGTACCCTGAAATTTTCAATTTGTTTTCATTTATAATTTTGAAATATACTTCCATGAAATGTCCTTGATATTTAAAAAGAAAACAATTGCAAAACATGCAAAATATTATGTATCGAAACATAGCCATATCTCTCTATCCCCTGAGCCATCACGGCTCACGCGTAAAGATTTTATAACCGTCGTTGAACAGCCGACTCAATTTTGAGTTAACGATGCTCAACTCCGTAATCTTGTAATTTTGAATCTAATCCAAGAAGACAAGGAAACTCCTAGATCAAGTATTGGGAGAAATTTGCTTTCGTGGAGGACTTTTTGATGAAACTAGCCTGCATTTGCGTTACTTGGAGAGGAAAACCACGAAAACGCCCCATGGTTAACCTGACGGCAAGAGGACTCTAGCCATTATCTGTCTACTACTCAGGATATTTATGTCAACACTGTGGTTCATGCAAGCTGGATGCGGGATTCCTATCTACCAGCCATAGCTGGGATTCGAGCCCGGTTCTACTCCTTGGAAGGCAAACTCTCTATCCCCTAATCCACGGTTCCACATAAATCATTAAGCATTTTGTCCTTTTCCCAATGCCTCAAAATATTAACAAAAACCAGAGTGCAGTAATTCTCATTTCCAATCCCCTTGAAAGAGCCTAACACACGCAGTTGTTTACATGTTTAAATGCCCCGTATCAATTAAAAATAATCGGAAGCAAAATCGAAGATATGAAATAGCATTTGTGAGACATTATTCGAAATTAAACATAATTCAAACGCCATTTAATGTTGTATAAAAATTGAAATAAACATGTGAAATTGAAATTACGCCCGCGTGATCATGGGCTGCTGGTGTCCGAAAGGCTCGTCTCATTCATGATGCTGACGGTCGTGAGGGGAGAATCGCGTAATCACTTATATGTGGTTGCGCTCCTGAAGGAATTAATACTACCGTAGTTTACTTTCAATACGACTTTTTTTAAGTTTTAGTTTTTCTTCGAAATACTCAAAGTTTTAAAATCTCTCATGAATATCATTTTTTTTTTCAAGCGAAGAATTATATTTCATTACATAATTTAGTCCAAACGATCAAAATTTTTCTTATCTCTCCTTCATCAAGATAATCAGTCCTGCGGTGATCGCAAAGAGACGGTACCCAGTAGAACACCGAAGTCAAGCATCACTGGCTACGGTCAGTGTGCCGGTGGGTGACCACTTTGATCAGCCTGCGTAAGGACAGGGGGGGGCACGGTTTCGGTCCTGGTTAAATTGTTCTACCGTAAAGTACTCGACTTCGCGTGCAGGTCGTCGAGCTACCAAAGCAGGGGAGGCATCCCCTCTGCAGAGGATAAAAATTACGGTGGCATGTCTTCGGATCATCTTCGGGGATAATTCCCAGACCGTCGCCAATAGCCAATTGAGCAGCTCTAGAGCGGCGTAAATAAAGTACTTACTCATCAAGATAACCCTTATTAGAAGTTTAACTGAACGTTTTTAGAATGTGCTCCTATTTAAAATTTACCAAAGTTTGATTAATCAAGCCCATTACTCACATACACGATATCACCTTCATCCCATTGATCTTATATTTGAGCTAAGTGTATAAAAATAATATAAGTGCAGTGGCGAGCAAAAATTTCCGGCACGTGCATACTTTTAATAGCAATTTCCAGTTTTTAGCTGTTTAAATAAATGAAAAGCAAATCATTTTTATTCTGCAAAAAATGTGTGTCCCTTACTCATAAACAACTTACCTTTATCCAGTTGACTTTATTTTTGGACAGCACATCTAAACTAATATACAGTGCAAAAGTGTCCGGTTTATTTTTATAAACTTTTCTAGCTTTCAGCTGCTTATGTAAATTAAAAACAAGTGATTTTTATCCTTCAAATAAATAATGTGCCCCTGACTCATCGGTACTATGCCACCTTCATCCCATTGATCTAATATTTTAACGGAATGTATAAAAATAATATAGGTGCAGTGGCGAGCAAACATTTCCGTCTTGTTTATTTTATAGCAATTTCCAGCTTTTGGCTGTTTAAGTGAGTGGACACAAGTAATTTCCACACTGAAAAAAAATGTGCCCTTTACTCATAGATAAGTTACATTTTCATCCCTTTGACCTTAGATTTTGACAGCACGTATAAGAATAATACACAGAGGCACGCAAAAGTTTTCAGCCAGTATATTTTTATAGCATTTTGCAGCTTTTGGCTGTTTAGGTGAGTGGAAAACAAATAATTTTTATCCTTCAAATATTGTGTCTCTTCTCATAGGCGCTACACCACCTTTATCCCATTTATCATTATTTTAGCATCATGTATATAGATACAGTGACGCGCAAAAATTTCCAGCCAGTAAAATTTTTTAAAACAATTTCCAGCTTTTTGCTGTTTAAACAAGAGGAAAACCAATAGTTTTTACCCTGCAAAAAATGGAACCTTAGTCCTTGACAAGATAAAAACTGCATCCCATTGATCATATGTTACATTTTGACAGCATGTCTAAATGTAATATTCAGTGGCATGCAAGTTTCCGACTTGTATACTTTTTATAACCTTTTCTAGTATTCGTATACTTATATAATTGAAAAACAAGCAATGTTTATCCTTCAAATAGTGAAACTTTTGTCATGGCACTATACCACTTTCATCCTATTGATCTTATGTTGATCTTATCCTTTCATCCTATTGATCTTATGAATTAAATATCTTTAAAGCAATTTTTAAAATGTTTGCATCAATTTTTTCAGCTTAACAGAGATTCATCAAGCTTAAAAATCGATCCAAAGAACTAACATGAAAATAATTCTACTGCTTACATGTTTTATTTCTGTGGCATATTGTACGCTTATTATAATTAGAAGAGGCGATGATAAACTCTGGGAAGAGTACAAGGTAATGTATTTTGAGTAAAACATTAAAATAAACTTTGAAAAAATAAACTGAACTTACTTTGCTATTTGTTATTGGAATTGTATTGGTTATCGCACTGGTGTTCACAATTAAAAGAATTTTCAGGATTATCTCCAGAACTGCTCTGTATTGTACATAAGCGTATGTGTTCTTAATTACATAGTGACCTAACATAGAACAAACTTTAATCATACAAACTGTCAACAACTACAAAACAGTAGCTAAATATGTTGCCAAACAAGAAAGATAAAGGAAGTAAACTAAATAAAACAAACATTATTATGCATTTGTGTCTGGAACATGCTCTATTAGGCAGACTTTATATAGATTTGATAGAATACAAGTAATACTTTGATATACTAAAAAAGAATAATATACTAATAATAATCATTCAACTGTTATAATGCACACGCATGACTGTGCGTGACACGCATCGTTGTCGGAAGGTGTCACAAGTTAGCAGCAGTGTCACACTCAAACTAAATATAAAGGTTATTTAGGGGATATGATCTCCTCTTACAGGCATACAGACTTTGCATAGTAGTGTTATACTGGAAATAACGCAGTTTAGGATTTTCTGAGGTAATTTGTTTTAATCGCTGTTTGCAAGTCTCGGTTGGCCAACAAGATCTCCGGATCTGAATTTTAAGGAACATACTTAAGATCCGAGCAAGTCACAAATTCCAAATGCAAGTCACAAACTCCATCTAACAGCTACATGCAGGACATAAAAAGAGCGTTGCTCAACGTGTGGTGCCAATTGTCACAGAAATTTCGAAACTCCAAGTAGGACGTTTCGGTCTCGTTAGCGTCCCCCCTGGTCATTTCTGTTTTTCTCTTTTAGATATTGAAGTCTAAAAAATTTTACCAAATATGCGAAACATACAAATGTAATTGTAGTAATCCTTTTTTCTATTTTTTATTAATTTTTGACTGCTAAGATTTATTCTCTTTTCAAAAATATTTGTTTTTGTTTCTTTTCAAGGTAGGAATTATTTGATGAAAGTTTCTAGATTACACCTCGTGGAGATAGTTAATAAAGGAATCCTTGGTTATTTATTCATTAAGTTTTAAAATCATATTACATCAATTCATAATAATCAACATAATTACATAAATAATGGAATACAAAAAAGGATAGTTTTTATTGAAACTTAGAGGAAAGTTTTTCGCTAATTCATTAGAAAATTGTGGGCAATCCCTCGTAAATATTCGTAATAATTTAAAGGTTTAATTCCACACTTGATAGTTTTTAAATACGTAATAAGCATTTAAAATTTCTGATTTTTCTGAATAATATATATAAATAAATAGGCAAAAACTGTCCTAATGTGTCTAAATCATTTAGCTCTTCTACCTTTTTGGGAGGAAAAATCAAGTCATATTTTATCTTTGTTTATGGCTTAATGCATGGCATGGTATTACGTAGCATTAATTCGACTGTTAAAAAGCTATGGATACTAACTTGGGTATTATTTGGCAAAAAGGTAGCAAGTGCTTAAATGGGTAAAAACATTATCTCTTTTTTGTTAGTTATTAACTTGACCAATGACTCAAATAATTTACACTTTAAGAAAAGTGCAGTAGTTGTTATTTGGTGGGGTTTAAATTTTACTGCATACTGGAAATTTAGACATCGCTAAAAAAGAATAACAATTTTTTTATAGAACTCGGCCAATATTTATGGGGAAAATTCAACATTTTTTGATTAAATCAGAGTCTTAATAACTAAGCATTACTTTTATACCTTGCTTTTTAAGTAATTTTATTGAATAACACGTTAAAAATATTTTTAAACACTCAATTATTCGACATTTAGAAAATAATTTTAATCTATATTATAGCACAATATATTAAAAAATCGGTTCAAAGTTGAACCATAATAAGGGTTGAATCATAAGAGGTGGAACTTTGCTGCCACCTTAACAAGGAATTAGTTTGAAGTACACTATTGGAAATTTCTCGGAAAAAATGGTTACATAACAATTTAATTGTTATTTTATCATCTTCAAATAAAACAGTCAAGTGATCATAAATAACACGGTAATAAAACTGTTCACAGTGAGAAAAACCGTTTATTAACTGCTGTTCCCTAATACGTTTAACAACCACATTTTTACCGCATCAACTAAGATGATGAATTCAGTTAGTTCCTTGCAGCCGAGAGGGCTATTGTCAATCTCATAACCAACAGTCTCAGCGTAAACACCACAATATTTCCTCTATTCCCTTCTAACACCTCAAGAGTTCCCATTGAACTGCACTCCCCAATTTGTGATCCTGGACTATTAGAATACGATACTATCATTCACACATAGATGGCAGCACCTTAAAGCTGCTTAATACTTTGTATTCATGGTATTTTGTATAACTATACAAGTTGCAAAAGTGTTTCAAAACCGTAAAGGTAAAAAATATTCTTTACCGTAAACCGTCTTTACCGTCAGATGGATGAACAGAATGCTGCTTGTCATTTTACCGTAATTTCTGAATGAAAATTCTTATAGTGAAGTAGATTGTTACATCTATTGTAGCAACATAGTTCAGTTTCTCAAATTTTATAAGGATAAAATTTCTACCTTAAAAAATTTCTACCTTAGGATAAAATTTCTACCTTAGTTACCACAGAAAATTTATCTACAATTTTGCATTTATAAATTCCTATTTCATTTTTGAACGCTTAAGAAACTCTTTAAATGTTTTTGGCTCAAGAAATTATTAAATTTTAATGCTATAAATAGATCTAATAGATCTAATATGAAATTTACCTTGTTTTTCAAAATTATTATTTAGTTATAAGGTTTCAAAACTAGCAACTTTTACCTTCAATACGTTACCGAGTTTTATTCCACCAAAATACTTTTTCTTAACAAATTCCTGCATAACTCTGCATTTTGCAAATATTTTTTAGTAGAACCATTTAATTTCTGAATTAGAAATCAGTTGAGATTCTGCCAACTGTATTAGTTTTGACGAAATTTCTGAAATTCTTGACAATTACTGACTTACATTACTAAATTAATTACTAATTAAGTAATTAATAACTTACTAAATTAAATTACTTACATTTTTAATAATTTATCTCTCCGCGCGCAGCCAAATCAAGAATTTTTAATTACGTTATTTCCTTACTAAAAAGAGCTAACTGTTTTAAAAAAATTCAAGTTGATATGTGATTAACACTTTGGGTACATTCTTCGTTGTGTCATTGAATAATACATCTTTTGAAATTTGAAAAAAAAAAATCTTTGTTAGCAGAACGGAATTTTTTATTTCAATTCAAGAATTATGTTCCTAAACTCATTACATTATTTTCCACTCTTCATTTTTTCCTCTACATTGCATGGTACATTCTTTTAAGAGAAACTTAATTAGCTGTATTTAAAAAAGCTTTAATTTTAAGGGTATATTTATCTACATAATGTGGATCTAGTTTGAGTATAATTTTGCAACATGTCATTTTGAAGAAAGCAGACTGATATTGTAGCTACTTTTTTATTTATAAACATTTATGCATTCTTACAAATGAACTCTTCTCTTATGATAAATTTGTAAAGGTACATTTGCGTTGCATTTAGAATCATTTCTCGAAAAAATACTCAGATCTGGATGATGCGTTAAAAAGGCCCATTTTTGATAAAGCTCTGCAAGAAATGTGGGAACACAATAAAGGATACCACAAGGGTGAACAATCCTTCAGCATGGGACTTAATCATTTCTCTGATATGGTAAGCTTTTTTAAATTTTTTTAACCAGTTCATCCTTTTAGATTGTGTCATCATAAGAAGCAACGCTTTTAACGAACAATAGACTAATTTTATAATTGTTAAGTGACAGTAACAGATATTTACAACAGTTAAGCGAGGTTTTAGTCATTCTTAAAACAGTGCCACCTATGATTAATATGAAAATGACATCATAATGAAGAAAAGCCACAATTTATTAAATTAAAATTTTCATCTTGATACTATAATTTCACTTAATATGTGATTTTCAGTGCATTGTTTAAAAGTTAAAACTTTTCTTCGAGTTTAAGTCTAACAAACTGCTTCTTCTTTTATTATTTTCCTTATGAAAAGAGCTTTTATTTTATTTTTTTATTATTAGATCCCACTTAGTTGAAATATTATAGCTATTAACAATCAGTACTAAAAATGTACAAAAACGGACACAAATGGCATAAATTTTTGTGATAATATCTTTCAAACTGTATAACTGATAATATCTTTCAAACTGTACCATACTTAAGGAGTATATTTCAAGAAAACGTTTTTAAAAATGAGAAGAAAGTTTTTAAACTGAAATTCTAATTAAATGAATAAAAACAATTGCTACCAATAAATAAGTATTTACATCTATTAAAAAATCAGCAATTAAATCTTGTTTAGCACTTGATGCAAAAGTAGCATTTCTTACGAACATTAGTTTATCTCTGGCTTGAAATCAGTTTAGATGCATGTAAATTACTCCGTGAATAGGATACTCTCAATTCGAAAAGAAGAAGACCGCTGATACACAACCACCTGACCTAAGACCCCAGTGCTAGCTGGTTTCTTATAAGCAAGATGGGGAATTAATATCCTGTATATTACTGACTAAGATCGAACTAAGTTTCTCCATATAAGTTAGAACGTTAATTAACGTGAAATTAATTGAATACAACATTGCACATCGAATTTGTTGAAATATATTTCCTCTTGTCTACGTTTTTTATTTTACCTAAACCAACTATTTGTTTATGCATTTTATTGCATCCGTGATTATTTTTATATTGTGATCTTGTAACTTTGTTGTATAATAAGTTTGTTTATTTTCTGTATGGCTTTGTGTCCGCGTTTTTGTGTTAAGTAAGAAATAAGCCTAATCTTCCTTTGTGTAAGAATATAAAATGTGTCACTTAAGAGAATTCATATTTGATGAGCTAGGCTCACTCTGAATGAAGAGAATGAAGAAAACAGTTGCTAACATAGACAAATGCCACGTTTCAACAGCCAATCAGGATCTATATCCACTATGGCGTCAGAGTAACGCATTTTCCAAAGGATGTTTTGCCCTAGACACAGTAGAGCCTTTATTAATCCTCGAAGTATTCTTCTTAATATCCTTCTTTGAATTGTTCTGTTTGTCCAACTTGACAAAGGTTTATAAATCTTAATTGAGCACACCAGCCTGCAAATGTATGTAATGCCAATAAACCAATAACTTTAATAGGAATATTTTTGGTCAAGTTGTAAAATTGATGAGTACTACCTTAGCAAATATTGCTAGTTAATTAGTCTACGTTTATTAGTCTACTTCCTGAGTATTAAATTCTGTTAAATTATAAATTCTTCTGGAAACGGAGAAAAGAAAAGTTAATAAATTATCAAAAATTACTTATATTGTAACTCTAAATAACAGTTTTTATCCAAATTTATTCTTTTATTAGTTCTAACTGTAGCTATTTGTTAGACTGTACCATATTAAATATTACCATTTTGGAATTTCTTCTATTAAGCTGGCTTTGGAAGAAAGAAACAACGAGCTTTAGAACTTTACTCTGTTGTATCTAACCGTTACAGTGTTTTTAGATATGAGCTGGTTCTGAAACAAATTGTTTAAACATTGTTTTCTTTTTATACCTAATTTTTAATTTATTAATAACAATTATTATTATTATTTAATTTATAATTGTTTAATTTATCACCTAATAAGCTTAATTTAATAAAAAACAATAAATTGCACAAAATCTCTAAATAATATTTTTGCGTAGAATTTCTCAACGTATTAAAGCATAAAGGGCATGTAGGATAAAGAATATTAAAAATACCTATTGTAAATGTCAAATTTTTGGTTCTGTTTTCAGACTGATGACGAAATTAATGCTTTAGCTTCAGGATTGGAAGACAAAATGGAGTGCAACAATAAGAGTTTACTGTACTCACCTCCATCCAACCATCCAATACCTGACGGCATCGACTGGAATAAAAGAGGATACGTCACAAGAGTTATGAATCAAGTAAGGAATTTCATGCTTCATGAAAAACATAGAAATGAATGGGGAGTGGTCATTTTATTTCCTAAAAGTACTCCTCAAAACATTGTTAGAAATACCATAACACTTTGAACCATAATTTAGTTTAAATTTGCTGCAACCTTAATATACAAGTTAAATTATAGTCCTTAATCCTTCTTGAACTTGGTCGAGTTCATTTCGGCGACAATCACTTGAAGGACAGGCTGTTTCATCGATACTACTTCGTAGATAGATCATTTAATCTACTAGGAAAGTCGTTTCGATGACAGGCCATTTCGTCGGTAAAGGGTCATTTTGTCGACAGGGTCGTTTCGTTGACAATATATAAAGTTAACTTTACACTGAGGATGCGTATTGTGACCTGGCACCACTAATAAATTTATGTCTTGTCATTGATGTTCCATTTTGATTTGTTTATTTTTATCCAAGCAATTTTGTATAAATGAAAAAGAATGAAACTGGAGAAAACAAGATCTAAAACAGTTGATGCCTTACAATTTTAATAACCCTACCAAAGTTTTTTTTTAAATAATATTTAAATTATAATAATATTAATATTTAAATTTAAATTTGCATCCAAAGAACAGAAATAACAAATGTAAAACTGCATTCAATTCAAATTGTCTTTCGGAATTTTTAATGTATTTATTCCGAAGCTACATTTTTAAATTTGTTCGCAAGAATACCATATGAATTAGTTTACTTATGTTTAAACAATTATTTTAGGTCTATGATTATTTTCATAGCTGTGAGAACTAAACTGATGTCCTTGGTTTTTCTAAAGTATAAACAAAAAAAATTTCAAAATAAAAAATAATATTTTTAAAAACCACGTTTTTGTAGTGGAGAATAATAATTAAAAAAAATTTGAAAAACGAAAAACGTGGGGCGCATGAAATACAAAACAGTAATGTTATATTAGTGTGTGTATGTGTGCTCTTGAGAATATGTATATGTATATCTGTAATTGTGTCTGAATGTGGATGTGGAATATGTTTGTGTATATGCATATGTACGTGGATGCATATATGGCTGTGCGTGTGTATGAGTAAGAAAATGTGCATATGTACTATTATGTATTTCATGCTCCCCACGTTTTTCGTTTTTCAATTTTTTTTTAAAATTATTATTTTCCACTACAAAAACGTGGTTCTTAAAAATATTATTTTTTATTTTGAATTATTTTATTTTAAATTATAATTTTTTTAATTTTTAATTCTTATTTTATATTTTTTTAGAAATTATTACTTTTTAATTATTATTCTTCACTACAAAAAACGTGGTTTTTAAAAATATATATTTCTATTCAGATTATTTTTCTTAGTCAAGAGTAGTCAAGACTACTACAAGACCACTACTAAAATAATAGAACTTTCATTTTATGCTGATGACAACCAAAACAATCTGGAAATGAATGAGGAAAACTGGATCCTACCACGTGATTTTTCAGCCAATGATATAATACTCCGACAATAAAAATCTTTTCACCTGACACCTAATTTGAAATAATGGAATCGACAACAAAAAACAATCTCGAAAATAATTTTTTTTTTAAATTTTAATTTTATTTCACTTTGTTTGTCTTTTTTCTCTTCATTTTCATGCATTGTCATTCAATTCTGAACTATGTGCCAAATTTGAAGTTTGTAGCTAGTCGGGAAGTTAGTTTAAAATCGATTACAAAATTCCACCCGGACAGACATACACGAAGGCAAGTTTATATAAACGTGGTAAAAAATGAACAATTTTACTGCAAAAAATTCTGTTTTTCCCCCCAAGATATTCATCAATAAAGAATAATAGAACATTTGTATTACATTTAATTCCATTTGATTTTAAAAATAATTTGATTGTTATCGTCATACTAGAGCCACAATGGGTTGTTTACAATGATCAGGGATCATGCTTTTAGGAATGACTTGAGGACAATGCTTGCGCACATATGAGCATTACACTATTACAAGATGTATACACACAAACTGTATACAAGATGTACACATCAACCAGTTTCATTTAAACGTCCCCCAACTAAGTATTAATTGATTAGAAAATTGTTTTTAAATACAATTATCAGTTCTAAAATTATTTCAGTATTCACTAATATAGAAATCAATATTTCTCATATTCATTAATTCACTGTCATTTCTTCATTATTTTTTCTCTCTTTATACACTTGCTACATCCAGAATAATTCCCTGTAGCAATTACAATTGTCTTAGCAATGCTAATCTATTAAAAATTGAACATAAACATACAACCTTAGAAGTAAATAGGGGTGAAATACCATTGGAACAATAAATGTGCCAAGTTTCAGTTTCTGTAAACTGACAAGCAGTAAGAGAAGTAGACAATTTTAAATTTAAAAAAAAATGCTTCATCTGTGGCAGTTTCAAAATAGTATACAAATTTGGCATTAGGCTAGGTTTGAAAGATTCCAACAAACACTAAATTGAAAAAAAAAAGCAAATGACGTACCGCTTAACCTAACAAATCCTGAAAATAGTTTTAATATTACGCTTAACAGTGTCATGAAATGGCCGTGTCAACGAAAGACCCGTTTAAAAACGATACTGTCTACGAAATGAAACAGTCAACGAAACGACCCTTTAGACAAAATAGCTGTGTTGACGTAATGAACCTCCCAACGAAACAATTTTCTCAAGGAAATACCTGTCAACAAAATGACCTTGTGGACGAAAAGACCGTGTTAACGAAATGGCCCTTTCAACAAAATGACCTTTTCAATAAAATGGCCCTTCGACAAAGTGGTGTCGATAAAACGGCCTGTCGATGAAGTGATTTATAACCAGCATTAAAAGGCAGACCCAATTCTGAGTTCAAGTTTCAATTTCGTAGCCTTGTAATTTTGAACCTAATCCAGAAGACAAGGGAACTCCTGTATCAAGCATCGGAACAAGCATGCCTTTGTGGAAAATTTTTTGGTGGACTAAACCACATTTGCGTTACATGGAAAGAAATACCACGAAAACTTCCCAAGGTTTACTGTACTGTAAGGGGATTCTAATCCATTACCCGACTACTACTGAGGATATTTTATGTCATATCAAAGTGATAGGTGTGAGCAGGGAGAAGAATTAGTCAACGCTGGGATTCGAACTTGGGTCAACAGCCATCGCTCCTATAGATGAAGTGATTGACGAACTGGATCCCTTGAACTAGATCGTATAATAATGTGGTTCAACCTTAACAGAAATGTATTCAGTATACCTTATTTAGTACTATATTTTGTTAGGTTGGAACAAATTTGTATGGTCGTATGATTCTAAGTAGAAACTATTTCTCTGAGAGTAAACCGATACATTTTTGATCAGCGAAAAAAAGCTTATTTCAGATTCATCATTAAAATTGAATAAATAAAACAGGCATTCAAGCTATGGTTCGAGCTACCTCTTTCCCTTATGCGATAGTTTTGGTTCCTCAAGGTATAAGCATAAGTTAATTTTTAAAGCATAAGTTAGTTCTTAAAGAATTTATTGCAAATAAAAATATTCAAGGAAAAATATATAATCTTTTTCTAATAATTTGTCATAAATAATTAACATTAAAAAGGTAATTTCTAATAGTAATCCTTTTTTCATTTTTTTTCCAAATTATTTCTACATTTCCATAAACTCATTAACAGCTATTCTAAATAGGAATACCATTCTTGATATTTAATGTGTCATTTTCAACAGCTTGCCTCGCATTTTATCACAATAATGCCAAACTATGCCTTACAGAGTCTAACCGTCATTCAGTCTCACTTAGGTTTTTTTACTGTAGCTTAGCAATTCCTTACAGTCCTGTTTCGCAGCATTCTGGAATAAACTTTCTTAACGAGAGCCTCGTCTACTTTTCAAATAAGAATTTTCCATTTGAAGCATTGAATAAGATGTTTTGACCCAATACATGCCGAATTCATTCTCCAATTTTGCCCCAGCCATTCCAATTCTAAACCATTCAGTTGAAGTGCTTTAGCACAACGTTTTTGCTGGTTGTTACCTGATTATGAGTAAATAATATATAAAATATGCAGACAATCAAAGCCACGAATAAAATATTTCATGTCTTGGGATGTCATTTTATAAACAAACTGAAAGCTAAAATAAAATAAATCCAAGATGTGGTGCCAAACATTTATAGCCTTTTAATTTTAAATTCACAAAAACAAGATAAGTAGGTCATCAAAGTCTTTCATTAAACTAGCGTCTTGGACCATTCAGTATCGCTACCGATAACTCAGGAGATGTGCGCTCTTTCCCTTCCTTATTCTGTATCTGAAATGACGACTCCGGATCAGCGCTTTTATTAAGAAAATTATACTCTAAGATAAATCCTATATTTTATAAATACTATGCTGTGGTGGGATTCAAACCCACGCCTCTAAAAACTGATGCCTAAACCCAGTGTCTAAGGCCATCCGACCATGCTACCTCTCTTAACTCTAAGACATGCAGCATTGCCGGGATAGCCTGGTCGGTAGGGCACTGGCCCCATGTCCAAGGGGTCGTGGGTTCGATCCCCACCGGCCAAAGACTCCCCGTGTAGTAAATGGTTGCTGATTAAATCTGTCGAGTCGCTAAGTCCTTCATGTTCCCATAACAAATCAATACCTCTGAGGGTATTGATCCAGGAGTTTCCTTGTCTTCTGGATTGGTTCAAAACTACAAGGCTACGGAGTTGAACAATAGTAGTCGTAAACCCAAATTCGGGTCGGCTGTTCAACGACTGATAAAATAAATAAATAAAGACATATAGCATGATCCCCACCGGCTAAAGACTATGTAGTAAATGGTAACTGATGCGCGCTAAATCTGCCGATTCACAAAGTCCTCCAGGTTCCCGTAACAAATCAATACCTCTGGGGGTACTGATCCAGGAGTTTCCTTGTCTTCTGGATTGGTTCAAAATTGCAAGGCTACGGAGTTGAGCATTAGTAGTCGTAAACCCTAAATTGGGCCGGCTGTTCAACAATGGTTACATAAAAAAGATATTTAGCATAGCGTAAGACTATGCATAGACTCCTACGTTTCTTTTTTCATTCTTTTGTGCATGCACTACCGAAAATAATAACTGATAAAAGTATTATCTTGCCATTCCTATGCAAAAAAGTTCAATAATTCGCAAAAAAAATCATATGAAAGTTTTGTAATAATCTGCTATAGAGCAAAATACATTTTTTTTTCTCTTAAGAAACTGTTTGGCAGCGGTGGGAGTCGAACCCACACCTACGAAGAGACTGATGCCTTAAACATTGAATAACTTTTGAATTCAATATAGATTTTTGATTGCCTTCACAAAAAAAGCATTTTATAACCAATTTTAAAGTTAGGATATATTTTTCATTCAAATGCTCTTTCTTTTCCCCATCTACGCTTGTTATTTGACGAACATTTTTCATTTTTCAATTTAAGGGTAGGTGTGGTGCCTGCTGGGCTTTCTCTGGAGTCGCTGCTTTGGAAGGGCAATTGAAAAGAAGACATGGAAAATTGGTAAAACTAAGCGAGCAGCAATTGACGGATTGCTCAACATTAACAGGTATGAATTTTTCACAATCGCTAAAATTATTAATATGATAAGTAAATAAAATAAAAATTTTAAAGACTTCGTCTTCGGAATCTCAGAATCTTTCAGAAGGAGGAGAAAAAATTAAATTCACCAGACATAAAACGAAAGAAATAGAGAAAATTGCTTTCGTACTTTCAGAAATTCATGTTTTTCAAATTGAGGAGCACCCCTACAATTTTTTCGTCTTAGAACTGAGAAAAATCAAATTTTTTTATCATTTTTTACCTACCTGAAAAAGTTACTCATTTTCAATTTTTATTGTATTTTATTAAGTTTTCCCTTTTAGTTCAGCTTCTGTTATTTTGTTTAGCTCGAAAGTTGCTAAGTATAATTTCCATATTGCTAAGTATAATTTCCATTGCAGTATAATTGAATTTTGACAGGTAAAAAAATTAAATTGATCATTGCAAAAACGTTAATGTCTATTTTCAAAATTCTCACACATGGAGGGCACCATAATCAGAATATATTTTAAAAATTCTTGCTAAAAATTAAGTTAAAAAGGCTATTTACCCAATAGGAGAGGCATATAAATAATAAAGAGCGAAAAAACATAAAAATGTTATCAAAGTTTGTGGAATTGCCAGTTGATGCAGATGAGGGACATCAAAACTATAGTACGGCTTTCAGGAGAACTCCTCCAGACACCCGTCTCGCATCATGGTAGGTGCTATGGTTACGAGGAAAGGTCGCTTTGAATAGGGGTGTGGATAGTTTTGTCAATCTCAGCGTAGGTCGTCATAAGTAAACCAATCGACATCTTCTCTCCTCCATTTCACTCGCATTAGAAATGTGCTCTCGCTTGTTACCATAGCAGCAGACAGCACCAGACTTTCAGTCTGGAGGAGTTTTCCTCAAAGCCGCACTATACAGGGTTATTCAAAATTCCCTCCGGGGTTTCGAAGCGTTATAGTAAAAAAACGAAGACGAATATGGCAAAAAAGAACATATGAAATTATTCCGAAAGTATTCAAGTTTTGATTCAAGCAGTTGCCGGTAGATGGCAGTAACATGTACCACTGAAGTCAGTTGTAGTAAAGAAAAATGGCGTTTACAGGCGGAGGGAATTATGAATAACCCTGTATATCGTTTACCTGAAGAAAGCTAGGAAGTAATTTCTAAACAATCCCTTTTAACTTCTGTTTTATTTATTAATCAAGAAGCTTTGAATTTTTTTTTATTCCCATTGTCTTCCATTCATAAGCGCTTTTTTTCTTTTTAACTCTCCTAAATATAAATTTTGACCCCTAATGTATATACTTCTTTTGACTCCATTTTTGAAAAAATACAAGAAAGGTGGTCATTAAGGGACATCTTGTTTAACATACCTGTCATGCGTTGGTGAGCAATGTAACAATGTTTGAAAATGTCCGTGATCAAAACTTTTTAGAGAATAAATACGGTTTATGTTATATTTAAAAACATAAACATTCTTAAGATCTTAAGTATAATAATTAGAAACTTTTTGTGCAGGTAATAGCCAATGTGGCGGTGGTCAGATGTGCCGAGCATATGAGGCTGCAATTGTGCATGGAGGAATCGACACAGAAGACTCTTATCCATACGAAGATAAAGTAAATATGAATATACAATTTCTTTTATTTAAAATATATCGATCCAAAATGAATGCTATCTTTCAAATTGGTGATGTACCGACAAAGGTGTTCCGAGTGGAGGTATATGTAATCCTCCTTTAAAATGGAGGTATATGAGAATGCTTACATGACTCACCCGCCCTGAAGAGGTTAATAATGGCAATTTATCATCAATAATCGTCAGATTAGTGGGAAGTGCGCGTTATTGTTCGACTTACATTGCCCAGAATTCCCAATTCCATTGCATTTTTTAAAGGTTAAGTGTCAGTGCCCGGTATACATTTGTCTAGGGTATTCTGCAAGCTAATGTTTTTTTCTAAGGTTGATTGCCACTATTCTCGTATTCTTCCTACTGATGTTTATTATTAGATTGATTGCCAATTGCCACAGCTCTGGTGTTTTCCACACTGATGTTCTCTTTAAGGTTTATTGCCACTACTCCGGTACTCTTTAAACTGATGTTTATTTAAGATTGATTGCCACTATTCTCGTATTCTTCCTAATGATGTTCATTATTAAATTGATTGCCAATTGCCACAGCTCTGGTATTTTCTACACTGATGTTCTCTTCAAGGTTTATTGCCACTACTTCGGTACTCTTTACACTGATGTTTTTTTAAGATTGATTGCCACTATTCTCGTATTCTTCCTACTGATGTTCAATATTAGATTGATTGTTAATTGCCACAGCTCTGGTATTTTCCACACTGATGTTCTCTTTAAGATTTATTGCCACTACTCCGGTACTCTTCACACTGTTTTTTTAAGGTTGATTGCCACTATTCTCGTATTCTTCCTACTGATGTTCATAATTAGATTGACCGCCAATTGTCACAGCTCTGGTATTTTCCATACTGATGTTCTCTTTAAGGTTTATTGCCACTACTCCGCGCCGGTACTCCTTACACTGATGTTTTTTCAAGGTTGATTGCCACTATTCTCGTATTCTTCCTACTGATGTTCATTATTAGATTAACTGCCAATTGCCACAGCTTTGGTATTTTCCACACTGATGTTCTTTTTAAGGTTTATTACATGTAAATCCGTATGTAAATCCACAAAGTTGTTCCGAGTGGATCAGGTATATGTAAATCCTTACGTTTGAGATGGTGGGGGAGGAGAAACTTGCTTATTATTCCAGTTTGAGGTAGTGAATTGGTTATACAAACGAGTTTTCTTCAAAATAAATTTCAATATAATTAATATATTACAATGAATAAATTTGTATAATTTATACGGCACATAATACAAAGCATAATATTTCATATTAAAGTATTCCTTTAGTTTTTTAGATGTTAGGATATGTTTTGTTTATTTTTTTTATTTATTTTTTTTATTTATTTCTTACAATGGATTAAAGATATATAAGACAAAATATTAATGTATAAAATACTGGTTGTTAGTGACGTGATCATCATTAACCTTTCCGGGACTGGTGAGCTTTGAAAATATTCGTAGGGAATTAGAACCAGGATGGAAAGAAATTAAAAGCTGTAGCTTATGTCAGGGCAGGTCCAATTTGCTTTTACTTTTATTTTAAATCTAACACATCAGATCAATATTGCTGGATGTTGTTGTTAACTAGGTATTTGACGCCACCAACTGATGTATTTGCACTGTGTAGACATGTACTTGTTATTGTTAAAAGTGTAACTGTATAATTTTTTATTTGTTCTAAATAGTGGTTATATAATAAAGCAAACTATTATTACTCCCCATCCACAAATAAATTGTTATAAGAATAGTCTATCTACCAGCTTTATAAGAAATAGTCCCTTTAATAGTTTCAACATATAATATTCTTGTTTCTGGTTCGCAATATTTTGTGTTTCAAGCGCACTACCCTTTTAAATTTAAATTTTTTTCTGAGTGAAAAAAATATTATTTTGTGTCTGTGCAACTTCTTCAGTATATTATTATTATTACTAGCTGAATACTCGTTTTCCGTATAAGTTGGGGAAAAAACTAAATAATCAATGAATCAGTAATGCATGAGTTCAACTCTACGAAATCACGCACAGAACTTCAAGAGCTATACCAACACAATTAATTAAGTTTAAATCATTCCAGTTACTATTATTATTATTTGTTGCTACTATTATTATTTATTGCTAAATCAATCATTATTTACTCAAGTTCACTAAAATGTCACCAACCCTCTTTATCCACACTGCTCTTCATTTAGCATTATTTACCTGCAATAGTTATCTATCATTCTTTCTTACTATTTCCTAACAGCAAAATAACTCATTGGATCAACATTCATGAATCTTAGCTCAATAGGGACTCAAGGGGCCGTTATTTTTCCGAAATTGGCCCTATATAGAATTATCCGATTCACCCGATATCTTACAGCCACTTTACATCCAATATCGGCTCTTATGAAATTGTCTGATTCACCCGATATTTTACAGCCACTTTACATCCAATATCGGTCCTTATGAAATTGTCCGATTCACCTGATATTTTATATTTATTATTTAGCCAATATAGACCCTATATTGACCTATAAAAGCCCTATATAGTGAATTCTATGACCAATGTTAAAAAAATCTAAATATTCCAATATTGGTCCTTCGGTGCATGTTCTTATACGGCCCATATTGTGCAAAATTCTGAGCCTAACTGTTAGGCAAGGTAAAATTGTTGCTAAGGTTATTCTTCGCGGTGATTATTTTTTAAGTTTCAATTATTATTCAAAATTAATAGCTGAAAACTAAAATTGATTTTCTTTTAATACATTAATCCAGCGATATTACCCATTTTTTAAGTATTATTTTAAGATAAACATGTGTAGTTTTCATTTCACAACTATCAAATGATAAATAAGCTAAATTTACTTTTTTAAAAGTAATAATTAAGGGTAGGGATAGCCTAATCGGTAGGGCGCGGGGGGCCCATGTCAGAGAGTTTGTGGGTTCGAACCCCGGAAAGGCCGAAGACTTCCCGTGTAGTACTCCCCGTATTGCACGTTAAATCTGTCGAGTCACAAAAATCTTCATGCTCCCATAACAAATCAAAACCTCTGGGGGTACTGGATTGGAGATCGATCGTTCTCTGATTCAGGGCAAAAGTACGATCAGTGGATGAATGAATGGGCCCGCCCTATAAACGGGTGCGACGTATTATGTGGCAGAAGTCGAATTCTTGGCCATAGATGGCGCCACTGAAAAACAAGAAACGCACACTCTGCCTTAAATTTGATCTGTTTTATCAAGCAATCTTACCCGTGTGGCAAGTGGCATTAGAAACAACAACAACACAACAAAAATAATAATCAATCTTGTAATAGGTTTTATTAAAACTGTATCCAGACAATGTATGCAATTAAAACAACATGTTACAAAGTAACTAATGTGAAAATATGCTAAATATAAAAGAAATTAACATTTGGAAAAAAATTTCAGGGTGGAGATTGCAGGTTTTCACCGGAAAATATTGGCTCCCCTATCAAAGGATATTTAGAGATACCCTATGGAGATGAACATGCTCTGTTAATGGCTGTGGCTCTGATTGGACCTGTAGCTGCTGGATTAGATGGATATCGGCCAAAATTTCGACACTACAAGTAACTTCAATGAATTCATAATAAATAATATGCACAGGGGTAGTTAAAATCAAATAAAATTTCCTTAGAGCAAAAATCTGCAATAAAAAAATAAAATTTAGAACACCACGCATGAAGAGGGTGCTTAATGAACAAAAAACACAAATTATAAACAGAAAAATTTATTTATAGTAAATGTACAGTGCTTTTTTGTTTGTTTTGTTTTCGTCAAATGCTTGCCCAAAATACGTTATAGGGAGTTCAATCGCTATACGATGGGCTCCTCAACCTAAATGTAGCAACATGACATGCTACGCTTGCTTATGCATTGAGTTTAGTTTCATTATGAAATCGTTTTTAGTGTTATCTTCCCTTCATGATTCTTTTAACCCCTTAACGATCGGTTAATTTTCAAGAAAACGGTCATAAAAGTGCCTCTTTTTTGGCTTTTGTATTTCGTATTTGATTAGTGCTGACATCTAGCTTTAAATAAACTAACTATCTACAATCACCTTAAAAATATCCTGATACTGCCATCTGGTGAGTAAAATGAGAAGTAAAATGTTTCCCGGGCAAAAGAAATGAATTAGTTTTAGTCTTATTGACGCGTTACTACTGAACACTCCAGCCCGTTAATATCACTGGAGCGAGAAATAGAGGGTGAAACCTCACCCCGTCATTTTCACGGGAACGAGAAGGAAGGGGTTAATTAAGCAATCGTGTTTCATTGTTCTTTCTCTTGTAATGACATAACGCAGAATGATATTGTGACGCTTCGCTTTTTAAACCACCCTAAATCGCATTGGCCCGCTTTCTGGTGCACGAAACGCACCATTTATAAGTCAAAATGTGAACAATATTTAATTGCTAATTTCTTTCTCTTGGTTAATATGTTAATATAAGGTATATACCAAGTTTTTCCTAAACGTCCGCCTATCAGAACGGACTCTATATTGCTCTTAACGTAACTTTAATTATAACCATTTTGTAGCATAACTTTAATTATATTTTTCATGCGAATTTTACTTATGAACATTTTTATTACGTTCATTACAGTTGGAATAGAAGTTTATTCTTGATTGAAAATATGTTAAAGGAAATGCATTAGAATACGATTATTAAAAAAATTCTTTTTTAAAATGTTCGAACTAAACTAAGTATTGTAAAAACATTTCGAAACTAAAATATTGTAATTTGATTCAAATAGTCAAATTATTTCTTTTAATTTCATTTATCATGCTTTTTTAAAATATTGTTTTATGTTAGGTTTGAATTTTTCATGATTGAATTATGTTTAAAAAAAAAACAAGAACATGAAAATTATATCAAATTAAAAACAAAATTTCTATCTAAAAATATTAGAAAAATCAAAATTCAAGAAAAATCGATTTAATTTGATTCAGACAGTTAAAAACAAACTTTAATCAACATAACGTTAAAAAACAAACAAACGCAATGCTGAAGAGAAAATTATGATTATTATCAATTGTTTTATCAACTAACACAATTGATAAAAATCATAACTTTCTTTGGCTTCTAGTCTGTTGGATAAAAGTTCCTTTATCAGCTAAAAAGTTCATTCATGGTCAACTATACATAGAAGCACAAAAAAGTGTCCTTCTGGTTTACATACTTTTCTATAGCTGTTTCTATTTATACATATTTGCATAAATAAATACATATCAGTTATTATGTATTATTATGTACATTTTTTCTTTTGCTTTTAAAGTTTTATTATTCTTGTTTTAATGCATTTACTGTTATTCTCATGAAGTTTATTTTACCGTTCTATGTTTTTGTATTTTTTTCTTTTTTTCGCTGCTATAATCTTCTGCATCTGCGATGCATGGAGGCCAATGATGTAAAATCAATTGCTTTTGCAAATAAAAGAAGGAAGTAAACATTATTTTTCTTAACTTTTTTTTAGAAGTGGAATCTATGACGATCCAGGATGTAGCAACACAACTTTAGATCATGCTCTAACAATTACTGGATACGGAACTGAAAATGGAAAAGATTACTGGATTGTGAAAAATAGGCAAGTATAAAAATAATAAACAGGATAAAACAAAAAATTATTTCCCCCAGCCTTATAAAGAGAGTATGGTGTTGGTAGCTATCGACAATGTCAACCTCAAAATCAATTATGAAAAGGTATCCCGACCTAGAGTCGAGTTAACATGTCTTATATGCTAGTGAATTATAGTTGTAATTTTGCAGTGGAAGATACGCTACAGTACTCTCCCACCAGAATTACAGCTGTGATAGAATTCGATACATGGATACCACTAGTTGCTATATTCGTGCCAGACCGGGTGAGCTGGATTAAGGTCACCGGGTTTTGTACATTAGTCATGAGAGCTGTATTAAGATCATGGTCGTAGTCGCTCCTGTGTTGTCTTTAGCAGTCAGGTGTTTGCAGGCTGAAGTTGTGTGTGATCGAGACGTGACTGAGTAGCAACAGTGCGAGGAGGTGGATAATGTCGCAGTCTCAAGTCAACTGTTCAATTTGGACCATCCATCGAAGTAGGCGTTACTGTCTAGGTAAGCGTATTCATATCGAAGTGGGAGTTTCTGCCAAGGTAGGTCACCACGAAGGTATCACGTATCATGGTAGGTATCACGTCCGAAGGTTACCAATGTGGGGATAGTTGTTATCGAACATGTCAACCGTCATCTATGAAAAAGTACCCCGACATAGAATCGAGTTAACATGTCTTATATACTAGTGAATTGTAGTTGTAATTTTGTAGTGGTAGATACGCTATAAGAGAAAACTTTCCTAAATAAATAATTTTTACCATAAAATGTGGGGTCTGAAAGCAAAGTACGAATCATGATAGGATTTCTGCTTGGTGAAACTACCAGGAGATCGCGTTTCCAAATAGAAGGATAATCGGTGGTGGCTTGTCTCTTGGCCTCCTAAGTCTCCCTTTCTAGTTCCTATTTCCCTTTGTCTAGATTTTTTTTTCTCCTCTGGCGATATCTATAAAACATAGTTTACGGAACGCTGACATAGCACCAGAGAACATTCATTGTCGTACTGAATTCTGCCGTCCAAGAATCTTTCAACTCCGCGTGATTTCCTCCATCAATTTGAAACCTGTATTGAAGCAGGCTGTCTCGCATTTGAGAATGGTTTTGTGAAGTTTTCAATTTCAAAGAATTTTTTGTTATTTCAGTATCGCGTTCTCCATTTTTTACGAGGATTATGTTGTTGTGGTCTTGAATATATCAGTGCTAAATATTTCATAAAGTTTGGCGGGTGAGTTTTTCGTCTGAGGACAGAATAGGATGGTGAGACGAGTTTAAGCGGATTATAAAAATATTTTTTAAGTGTACTCATTGCAAAACAACCTGTTTTCTTAAAATAGCATCACAGTAATTTGGAAATATTCTTTTAAAAATAAAAGTCTCGTTTTTTAATTTTAAGTGTCCAAATTTTTTTTAAAAAAAGTACTTTATACAAAAATAAATAAATAAAGCAGGATTGTACATGATGTTGCACGCCGCCTATGATGAGTTTGTATTTTTGACAATATTTAAATGACAGTGATTTAGGAATTTTTCAACGCAAAAAGAGCTATGCAAATAAATGTAAATATTTTAAGAACGCCTGTTTGTTGATTCTGTATAAGCTATCTATTTTAAAAAAACAAAGTTTTATTTTACATGGTTTCCTCACAGAGGTTAATGGTGCCCTCGCGTCGGTTAATTTTTAAATCTGGAGAACGCAGCTCAAAATGCGTGTTTACAAAAATGGACATAGTTCTTTTGGAAAATGGAGATAAAATTCGAATTTCTTTTCATTGTATAGTTCTTTATTTAAAGAATAAAAAAACGAATTTAAATAAATTCGTAATATGATATCGTTCATTTGCATAAATATATTTATCACTAGTTACATTTAATTAAATTATACTTTTTCTTTAAAAGTCTTTAAAATCCAGTAGTTATTTTTATAGGGAGGCCACGGCTGCTGAAAATGTATAATATTGTTATTAAATAAACGTTACAAGTATTTTAAAACTCCCACTATTGTTTTGAGAATCAATGCTACTAATTTTGTGCGTACACCATGTATAAGTACACCATGTACCAATTTAGTACACCATGTATAATAATATGAAGAAAAAAAACAGATAGAGTGCAAAATATAAAATCCTCTAATGAAAACTGTTAAATAATTTCAGTTGGAGTACACGCTGGGGTGAAGACGGATTTGCAAAAATGGTACGAAACAAACACAATCAATGTGGCCTGGCAAGTAGGGCTCTCTTCCCAGTATTAGATGCAAAGCCGGATGGATCACCTGTACTATTAGGACCTAGAGCCATGTAATCTGACCACAAAGAAGAGTGCTTGATTTATTGAATTTAATCTACCAATTCAATAGTAATTAAAACTATGCCTATACTAAAGCATGTGTAATGTGCATACAAGTTCTTATAATATTGTCAGATGCCATATGAACTTCATTGCGGATACTTCGGGGTTTGATGAAGTTTAATTTATTTTAGAAAGTTTCATGTTGCATAAAATTTTATTGTAAGAAATTTCATTGTATCATATACTCAAAAAATACAATTATTATTTAATAATACATAGAAATATTACTTTTATACTATTATACAGTAATAGATGTATACAGAAAATTTTAGAAATAAAAAGAGCATAGTGAATAAGTTATTGGTGTAAAAGTATTTTTCGAATTTAAATTTTGTTTAAAGAAGTGCTTCATAAAGTGTAAACTACGTTGAATTTAAAGCCAATTTCAATTTAAAAAATGTTAAAGATAGGATGCTCCTCTTCTTCTTCAAAAAATAAATAAATGAAATAAAATTATACATGTATAATTTGTTTATTATATATATATATATAATAACAGGGCTACATCCCTGTTATCATTGTTGTATTCAGCTTTAATAATGCAGTCATAAGCCATAATACGTTCTAAAAAGGTTTATTTAAAGGTAGGCTGGTGGTCATAACAGTTCACATCCCCACTCCACAAGGGAGGGGGAGTGAACAAAACTCCGGATGGTTCCGGCAGATGTTTATTGGAACACGTTATTCAGCAAGAGACATGCAAAAACCATCGGTCCCGCATTAAATACTTACAGATTTAGATGTAAACTGGTTCCAGTCGTACATACCTTGTAACTCTACGCATTATGGAAAATCATTTAATGCTTCCTAATATGGAAGTGAAAGAGGGAAAGATTCTAAAAATAACTCCTCCTTTGAAATATAAATATAATTATAATTCAATGGCGTGTTTTCAGTCTTGAAGTCCCAAAATAGAATTTCTACACCTATTCTTTACCAAAGATATTTTATGAAAACGAAAGAGTTTTAATGGTTTTATTAATACAAAAGTATTTATAATTTTTGTATTACATCCCCCCCCCAAAAAAATTTTTTTTTGGTTAGCCAAAATAAAAAAATTTAGAATACTTTAAATTTCTAAAATTTAGGTTAGTACGATTGTTCCTTTTCCCTACTACAAATAACATCTTTTCAATTATGAGAAGAAAAAATTTATTTACAATGACAAAAATATAAAAAACATGATAATGCAATTTAAAGTGATTCTTACACAATCAATACTTAGTTGGATAACCCTTATTTTTTAAGACAGCTTCACAGCGTCTTTTCATCGAGTGAAAGAGTGTTCGGAGTTCATCTTTCGTAATCACATGGCGCCAAGAATCAATTATAGCTTCAATAAGTTGTCTTTTATTGGATGTACGTTTTTTTCGTACAAGAATTTTCAAACGCCGCCACAAATTTTCAATTGGATTGAGATCAGGACTATTTCCTGGCCATGGTAATATATCTATGCCTTTATTTTGAAACCACGCTTTGCACACTTTTGCTGTGTGGCATGGAGCTGAATCCTCCTGAAAAATAAATGGTGCGTTGTTGGGGAAGAGATCCCTGATGGAAGGTATCAATTTTGGTTTCAGGACAGTTTCGATGTATTTTTTGGCATTCAGGATACCAAATCAGGCAGGAAAAAATGCACAAATGCTACTGCGGATAGAAAAATTTCATCAGATGCCATTAGATGTCAAACGAATGCAGCGGGTATTGCAGTAAGTTCAAGAACAATAAGAAGAAGGTTATCAGGAATTGGACTAAAAGCTAGAATTCCAAGGAAAAAAACCATATTTAAATCAAAAGCAAAAGCGAAAAACGAGTTAAGTGAACAAAAGAACACATTAAATGGTCAGAAAATCAATGGAAGCAAGTAATCTGGAGCGATGAGAGTAAAATATCGCTCTTTGGTAGTGATGGTAGAAAATACGTAAGACGTAGAGTAGGTGAAGCACTTCCTCCTGATTGCATTGAAGCAACTATAAAAAACCCAACAAATGTCATGATTTGGGCATGTATGTCTGCAGATGGTGTGAGCCGAATTCAAGTGATTGATGGTATCCTAAATGCCAAAAAATACATCGAAACTGTCCTCAAACCGAAATTGATACCTTCCATCAGGGATCTCTTCCCCAACAACGCACCATTTATTTTTCAAGAGGATTCAGCTCCATGCCACACAGCAAAAGTGTGCAAAGCATGGTTTCAAAATAAAGGCATAGATATATTATCCATGGCCAGGAAACAGCCCTGATCTCAATCCAATTGAAAATTTGTGACGGCGTTTGAAAATTCTTGTACGAAAAAAACGTCCATCCAATAAAAGACAACTTATTGAAGCTATAATTGATTCTTGGCACCATGTGATTACGAAAGATGAACTCAAACACTCTTTCACTCCATGAAAAGACGCTGTGAAGCTGTCTTAAAAAATAAGGGTTATCCTACTTAGTATTGATTATGTGAGTATCACTTTAAAAAAATGCAAATCGAAGATAGATCTTACCATTAGTTGCATAACTTTTTTTGTAATACAGATATTGTAATACTGTATTTATTATTAAATTCGCATTAAATTACCTTCAATTTGATATGTGAACGTTTGCATTTAAGTGAAAAATAATATATTCTACAAGCACATAAAGTTAAAAAACATGAAAATTTCAAAAAATGTCTAAAAATCTCAATTTAACTTTTTCACATTGCCTTATTTTCAGAAAAAAAATTTAAAAAAATTAAAAAAATTAAAAAAATTAAATTCATTAAATCCAAAAAAAATTAAATTCATTAAAATTGCTCTTTAAACAATGCTGTTGTAAAAGGTTTCCTGCTCGGGGAAATAATCACTTTGAAATTATCAGGCGGTTTTTTAGAACTTTATTAGACAAAACNCATACTTTTGCTGTGTGGCATGGAGCTGAATCCTGCTGAAAAATAAATGGTGCGTTGTTGGGGAAGAGATCCCTGATGGAAGGTATCAATTTTGGTTTCCTGCTCGGGGAAATAATCACTTTGAAATTATCAGGCGGGTTTTTAGAACTTTATTAGACAAAACACAACATAAAATAGCATTTATTAGACACAACTTTATTTAGACAAAACACTACATAAAACTTAAAAATAAACATTTACTAATCACGGGACTTTGTGCTGCCATCTGTAATTCATTTTAAGAACTACTTAAAATCAAAACAGCTGTCAGAATAAAACGATGATAAAAAGAAAAATTAATAAAAGATGAGAAGCAGGAAAAAAAATTGTTCCGAAATATAACTTTAACGTTGAGAATCACAGTTTTCTACATTACAGATTATCTGTCTTACCTTAGAGGAAAAAAGTGACAATAAAAGAATAAAATCTATTAGAAGTGTTCCGTTAAAATGCTGCTCTATAGTTAATACAGAAAATCAAGCAAAAATGAAACAAATGAAAAAAAAGTTCTTAATTTTTAAAACTTAAAATGTTGAAAAAACGACGAATTGTTCAAATAAAAATTTTAAAAAAGTCAATAAAAACTCATTCGTGCGGTATAAAGTAATCTAGTTTCAATTCTTCAAATTTTGTTTTTCCATTTGCCTTTCAGAACATAAATAAACTAATTAACTTAGTTAAAACTTAACAAAAACGTGTTAAAACAATTTCTAATAATGAATAGTGAATAATACTATTTAAGATTATTCTATTTGAATTCCCCCCCCCACCCAAAAAAAAAATCTTGTCGAAAAAAACTTTTTAAAATAATACTTTGCTGAATATTCGGTCGAATTTTCAACCGAATATTTGGCTAACCAAATATTCGATAAAAGGGCCGAATAATGTCCCTAGTGAATACGAATGCATATCTTTAAAATCACGCGTATTCGTATATACGTGATTTTAAAGATATGCACATGCATATCTTTAAAATCACGTATATACGAATATTTATTTTCGATATTAGCATCAGGGGAATATGAATCGCCATATTAGATTTTAAAAAAGCGTGAATACAAGTCTCGATATTTGATTTCTAAACCGTAAGAATACGAATCACGTTGATTGATTTTCCAGTCACTTGCATTTGAATCGCGATGTATAGTTTTCAACTCAAAGAGATACGAATCGCGATATTCGATAAGAAAATCGCAAATAAACATCTGTGAATAACTACTAAATTTCCAAATGTTCATAACTGCATATTTTCCGATTCACGTATGCATTAATTGATTCAGAATGTTTTATTTACATAAATTTAACGTTATTTAAAAGAAAGTTTATGTATATGACATATTTTTGTTTCTGAATAATTTAAAACATCATTGTGTATATTTTTAAACTTCATATCATCATTCACATCATTATCACATCTTATAGTATCGATAAGAAAAATTTCAAACATCATTTTTTCTATTCATATTTAAATATTGCAGATTATTTTTTTCCGTTTGTCTTTTTCATCATTTATTGAGCAAGATATATATCAAAGTATATTATTTTCCATGCTTACAAATATTTAATATACACTTAATAAATTATAATTTTCATAGTGAAATTTATTTGAAGTATTAATTGCTTTAATATTTTCATTATAAAAAGTGAACTAAATTTATATTCCTATTTTTTAAAATTACAACTGGGTAATCCGATTAGAGGCACAAAAAAAAACTTTTATAATGTCAAAGCACTTTGTATTATTAATTTTTTTCCCGATAAATAAAACTATATAAGTGCCACAACTGCTAATAACAATGATCAAGAGAATATTAAAGTTGATACTAATTAATGAAATGTAACTTTTTGGTTTTACTTATAAGCATTTATTTTATATAAAATAATTAAGTCCCTTAGCATACAAATTTAAAAAATCGCAATTCTGGTGTGTTTAATGAAATTCTATGGTGGTGACATCTACTGACTACTTTATTTATTTTTCTTCATTTTTCTCTGTAATATTTGAAGACAAATATTTTATTCATTAAGTATAGATAGAATAATATTTAAGCAATATTTAAATATTGGTAATTAGAAACTTTATAGAAACTTAATTTTGAATTTTATATTTTCCATTCAAAAATTGTTTAATAATTTATCAAGCCTCTGTTGAAAACATTAAACAGTTTCATAGTTACTTGCAGCGATAGATAACAGACATATGAAGAAAAAAAATCTAAAAAAGTAAAAATTATACAATTAAATTTCTTTTTAATTATTTATCAAGCATCTGTCGAAAACATAAAATAGGATTGAGTGTCACGCTCACTCGTAGTGATAGATATCAGATATATGAAGGAACAAATTAAGAAAAGTTAAATTTATTCCATTAAAAAATTGTTTAATAATCCTTCAAGTGAGCATTTGTCGAAGACATAAAATAGA